CCCTGGGGACAGGCTCTGGGGAGCTGGGTGTCCAGCTGGGTCTGGCTGTCCCTGGGGACAGGCTCCAGGGAGCTGTGGTCCCCCAGGTGAGCCATGGAGAGCTGAGGGGCTGGTGGGGGTCCTTCTGGGGACAGAGCCCAGGTCACTGGTATGGGGAAGCTGGTACAGGATCTGCCACGGGGATCAGATCTGGCTTGCTCAGACCAGTGAGGGCAGCAGAAGTGAGGTCCCCTGGGCCTGGAGAAGGGGGTTCCTTCCTTTGCCCCTCTCCAAGGCCCCATGCAGGGCTGCAGCCAGCCCCAGCACCCAGAGAAGGTGCAGAGTCATAGGGCTCAACTGTGTTCTGTGCAGGGAGGGTCCCAGGACCCTGGTGATCTCTTCCTGGGGGTCCCTCCTGCCCCTGGGCAGAGTCCCCACCCACCACCCCTTCTCTTGCTGCTGGGTTCCTGAGCCCCCCACTCCCTGTTCTGTAACCCTTGCCCCTGAGCAGCTGCCAGACACACCTCACACCCCAGCTCTGCTGCCCTGCAGAACCATCAGGGGGTGCAAGTTATTTGGAGACCCGCTTGCCTTTCCTCCCCACAGCTCCTGCTGTCTTCTCACTGCTCATTGTGCTGGGGGGTCCTGCTGGCTGGGGGGACCACACTGCCCCCCATACACTCCTGCACTCCCACAGGTACTGAAGGGCCACGATGACCATGTGATCACCTGCCTGCAGTTCTGCGGGAATCGCATAGTAAGCGGTTCTGATGACAACACGCTCAAAGTGTGGTCAGCTGTCACAGGGGAGGTGAGTGTCACTGTCACCAGGGAAGTGAGCGTGGCATTGTCACAGTGCCACAGGGGTTTGGGACAGGGACCATCTCCCTGTGCTGGGCACAGGTGGGGTTACACCCTGGCTCCTGGGGTCAGTTTGGGCCCTTTACAACAAGGACGTGGAGTTGTGCTGCTCCTCTGTGCTGTTTCAGGGGTGGGGAGCTGTGAGAGGGTCACCCATCCCTCATGTCCTGTTCCCCACAGTGTGTTCAGACGCTGGTGGGCCACACTGGGGGGGTTTGGTCCTCCCAGATGAGGGACAGCATTGTCATCAGTGGCTCCACGGACCGCACACTGAAGGTGTGGAACGCGGACAGCGGCGAGTGCGTGCACACACTGTACGGGCACACCTCCACCGTGCGCTGCATGCACCTGCACGGCAACAGGTACAGCAGGGGCTGCGTGCTGGGCCAGGGGGCATAGCCACGGGGCTGGGGCTGCTCAGCCCAGCCTGCCCTGGCAGCTGGGCCCCAGGTGTCCCCTCCCCTGCAGGGTGGTGAGCGGCTCCCGGGATGCCACGCTGCGGCTCTGGGACATCGAGACGGGGCAGTGCCTGCACGTGCTGATGGGCCACGTGGCGGCCGTGCGCTGCGTCCAGTATGACGGCAACAAGGTGGTCAGCGGTGCCTACGACTACACGGTCAAGGTGTGGGACCCTGAGAGCGAGAGCTGCACCCACACACTGCAGGGGCACACCAACCGTGTCTACTCGCTGCAGGTACAGCCCTGTGTGCATCCCCTCCAGCTCCCCTGCCCTCCCTGCTCTCTCAGGTACTACCTTGCAGGTACATCCTGCTCCCCCTGCTCCCTCAGGTACAACCTCACAGGTACATCCTGCCCCCCCTGCTCCCTCAGGTACATCCCTCCAGGTACATCCTGCCCCCCCTGCTCCCTCAGGTACAACCTCACAGGTACAACCTGCCCTCCCTGCTCCCTGCAGCTACAACCTGCCTTCCTGCTTCCTTGCCCTATCGCTCCCCTGCCTTCCAGTCATGGGCACAAGCTGTGCCAGAGGTCCCACGTGCTGTAGGGACAACTAGGCTGTGCCTGTGTCATGCGAGACCCTGTGAGCTTTGCAGGGCCATGTGTGCCCTGAAGGGGATGTATCTGCCCTGCAAGGACACATGGACCATGTTTGTGTCCTGTGGGGACAGTCTCTGCCCCCCTGACCCCACTTCCCACACACACATGCTGTGGGCAAATAATCCTCCATACCACTTCCCTGGAGCATTTCTACAGTCCAAAAAGGCAAGACGTGTGTGAGCCTGTCTCATCTGCTGAACTGGGGTCTCTGGTGGTGCTGCTGGAACTGGGGGCGCTGTATCCCAAACCAGGGGATGTGAGAGCTGTGGGCTGCACCCCAAACCAGGGATGCTCCTGTCCTCGGTACTGAGCTGGGTCCCTTCTCTGTGGCAGTTTGATGGGACACACATCGTGAGCGGGTCCCTGGACACGTCAATCCGCGTGTGGGATGTGGAGAGTGGGAACTGCCTGCACACGCTCATGGGGCACCAGTCCCTCACCAGCGGGATGGAGCTGCGCGACAACATCCTCGTGTCTGGCAACGCGGACTCCACCGTCAAGATCTGGGACATCAAGACGGGGCAGTGCCTGCAGACTCTGCAGGGTGAGGGGATTGCTCAGCCCCGGGGGGCAGCGGGGGAGTTCCCTGCACCAGGGGGCTGGCAAGGGGCAGCTCTCTCCCTTGGGGCTGGGCTGGCTGTGTCTGGGCACAGTGGTGTGTGTCCCTGAGGAGCCAGGGCTGGGTTGGCTCTGAGGTGCCATGTCACACAGTAGCCGGTGTGACACTCACGGGTGCCTCCCCCTAGGTCCCAGCAAGCACCAGAGTGCCGTCACCTGCCTGCAGTTCAGCTCCAAGTTCGTGGTGACCAGCTCGGACGACGGCACGGTGAAGCTGTGGGACCTCAAGACGGGGGAGTTTGTGCGGAACCTGGTGGCGCTGGAGAGCGGCGGCTCCGGGGGCGTGGTGTGGCGCATCCGCGCCTCCAACACCAAGCTGGTGTGTGCCGTGGGCAGCCGCAACGGCACCGAGGAGACCAAGCTGCTGGTGCTGGACTTTGACGTGGACCTGAAGTGACCCCGGCCAGTCCGGGGGTCCCGCGGGAGGGGTGGCCCCGGCGCAGGCGCTGGCCCCCGCGGGCAGGACAGAGGGAGCCCGGGCCAGGCCTTATTTATATGCGCGGGAGTGCCCGGCCGGGCTGCAGGAGCATGTTTTGTACACGGAATATATCACTTTATTTCTGTACTGGGGCTAGTGCTTACCTGCCCCAAGCCTGTCCGGGGCCGCAGCTGATGCCCTCTGCCCAGGGGCTGCAGCAGGGAGAAGAGGGCAGGCTCTCCCAGGGACATGCACACACATGCCCTTAGCTGGTGGGCATGGGCCTGGCAGCACCTGGCATCTACCTCACACTGCCCTGAGTGCCCACTCTGCACCAGCCAGGTGTAGTGAGAATGTTCAGGGCCCTACAGTGTCCTGGTGACCACAGGGCTCCTGCAGGGAGACTTGTGTCTCACATTTAGATGCAATTGCCCGCATTCCCTGTTGTGCCATGGGCTCCCCCCAGCACACACAACAGGGAACAGAGGCCAGGTTCTGGTGCCCTCCCCATGTGTCACACTAAGCCATTACTGTGAAGACGTTTTATTGGTACTCACAGTCTACTGCCCAGAAATCCACAACCACGAGGGCTAGGGGAGCCTTCCCCCTGTTCCTGTGCCCCCATCCCTGGTGCCCAGCACAGCCCAGCAGCTGCTCGGGGCTCCCGGGGCCCAGCGCAGGTGCTGCTCCGGCCTGGGGCTCCATGCAGCAGGGGTGCAGCCGCTGGCCGGTGCGAGGCCGGGCTGCCGCCAGTCGCGTCCGACGGCCGCGGGGAGCTGCGGCCAGCTGCTGCTACACGCCGGCAGCGGGAGCGCCTTCTGAGGGCTCCGCGGGGCCCGGCGCCGGCTCAGGGGAGGCCGGTGGTCCGGACGGCCCCGCGGGAGCCCCGTGCTCGGCGGCGCGGCGCTGCAGAAGCGCGGGCACCAGCCCCACGTAGGTGCCCATCAGGCGGTGGTTGGCGCGGACCAGCCTGGCGGCGCAGCTGTCCAGGCACGACTCCTGCGGGGGACAGGGGGTCAGGGGCGGCGGACACCCGGCCTGCGGGCCCCGGGCGCCGTGCCCCGCTCACCTCGCGGCCCGTGAGAAGCCGGTAGTTGAGGTTGCAGACGCAGTGGCGGAAGCAGAGCTCGGTCATGCGGTTGTAGACCAGCAGGAAGTCCCGCAGCTGGGGAACAGGCGCGGGTCACACCGGGCAGACCGGGCCGGGACCCCCGACACCCACCGCGTGTCCCGGCCTGTCCCCCGGCCAGCCCGAGACGCCCGGGTCCCTTCCAGGACTCCGCCGGTTCTCCAGAGAACCCGGCACCTCGAGATCCCAGGGCCGGAACCCTCGGGACACACCGGGACACACCACCGCACCCGGGACCTCCCATGAAGGCCTCGCGGGACATGCCGCCCCCCGCCCCTGGCCCGAGGCTTACGCTGCGGAGCTGCTGCCGGTGCTCGGCCGCCGGGTCCATCCCGGACCCGGCCGGGCCCGGTCCCTCCGCACCCGCAGGACCACCCGGCGAACTCCCAGCACGTCACTTCCGCTCGGCTCAGCGATGACGCCACTTCCGGGCCCTTGACGCCACTTTCGGCGCGTCCGGGCCGAAGCGGAGCGGGAGCGGCGCGGGGGGGCCCGGCGGGGCCGGGGCGCAGGTGGGGCTGGGCAGGGGCCGGGCGGGGTGAGCGGCCGCGGGGCCGGTGGAGCCGGGCCGGGACAGCCCCGGGAGCGAGGCCGGGGCCGCCGCCGCCCGGGGCCGGTTCCGGCAGGAGCGGCCCCCGGGGGTTCCCTCGGAGGTCGGTCCCGTCCCAGGGCCTTGCCGTGCGTGGCTGCGGACGGCTCCGTTCCGACGCTGCCCCCGCCAGCGCCGGAGGCTGTGGGACTGCGGGGCCGTTCTCCGGCGAGGATGGCCCTGGGCGGTGGCGGCCTCTGCCCGCGGGGTTGGACCCTGGAGCCGGGTCGGGCGCTGTGCCTGCCGGGGAGGGGACAGGTCGCGGGTAACGGGCTCTCGGGAGCCCGCCCCGGGCCCCGCCTGCTCTGGAATGTGCCCGGACCGGTCCGAGCGCTGCGGGGCCCCCCCGCGCTCCTGTGTACGTGGCTCCGGGCGCCCTCCTGGCTGGGGCCGTGCTGGGCGCCGCCAGCGCCGCTGTCCGGGGCAGGGTCTGCGGGGATCCCCAGCGGGGTTTGTGAGCGGGAGCTCGGCGTGCGGCCCGAGGGGCGGGGGAGCCCGGCAGTCCTGGGCGCGATGGTGTGGGAGCCACGGTGGGGTCGGTGCCTCTGGGATGTGCCGCCCTGCGGGTCCGTTCCGGGAGCAGGGGTGTCCCGAGGGGCGGCCGGCCGGGCTGGGCAGCGGCTGCAGAAGGCCCTGCGCAGGGGGCAGCGGCTGCTCAGCGCCCGCGGCTGCCGATGCGGGCCCCTCCCTGCGCTGTAGCCTCCTGCTGTCCCAGCACGGCCCCGCGGGTGCTGCCGGTGCCCCGACCGGGCCGAGGTCCTGGTCCCAGTGCCACGTCCGTGTCCTTGCAGGCCCTGAGGATGTCGGACGGGATCCTGAGCAAGGCAGCCACCATGGAGATCCCCATAAGCAGCAACGGGGACACCAGCAGCCTGCCCGAGGACGATGGCCTGGAGCAGGTCCGGGGCTCGGGAAGCCCGGGGGTGTCTGGGGCTGTCCCAGGGCTGTGCTGTCTCTGCATCTCACCCACTGTGTCCTGTGCCCCCCAGGACCTGCAGCAGGTGATGGTGTCGGGACCCAACCTGAATGAGACCAGCATTGTGTCAGGCGGCTATGGGGGCACAGCCGAGGGCATCATCCCCACGGGCACCATCAAAGGTACTGGGGCTGCCTTGGGAGGGAGGGGGACCATCGTGGGACAGAAGGGCTCAGCTCCCCTCAGTGCCCCTGACTCATGACAAAGGGCTGTGCCACAGCCTAGCTGGGGTGTCACCTGGGGGGGCTGGGGGGGCTCAGGTTCTGTGCAGGGGCAGCATGTGGGGCTGTGTACTGAGGCTGAGCAGGGGCTGCTGTCCCAGCTCCACTCTCCCTGGGCTGGGTGCTCCCCTATCACAGGGTGGGATCTCTGCTGGGAATTTCCATCCCTGTGGGATTCTGAGTCCCTGCTGTGCCAGAGGGTCCCAGGTCTGTCCTGGTCCTTGTGTAGTGGGAGCTCTGGAGTGTGCTGGGGATGAGGCGGCAGGCAGGGGGCCCCGAGCCCACACCCTACTGACCCCTTCTTGCGGGGCCAGCTGCGCTCTGCACCCCGGGAGACCTGGCACCACTGTCCTTGTTCCATGCAGACCTCTCCCTGAGGGTGCCCCAGGGCTTGAGGAGGGTCCGTGTGGGCAGAGAGGGCGAGTGCACGTGTGTGTGCTTCCCTGGAGCACTGCTGCTGCTGGCCCTGTGTCCCTCTGTCCCCGTGACACCAGGCCAGCCCAACCCTTGGGGTGCAGGGATTCCTGCCCAGGGGCAGTGGTGGGGGCAGTTCCTGGGCTGGGGGAGTCCATCTGTGTGGCTGTAGCCGTGTCTCTGGGTTCCAAGGCTCACCTGCTGCCGTCGCTCTCCCGCTGCCGCCCGCCCGCGCACTCGTCCCTGTCCCCTGCCCCCCGTCCCCTCTGCCCTGGCTACCCCACTGTCCCATGCCCTGTGCCCCCCCTCCCGCTCGGCCCCGCAGCCCCCCCGTTTCCAGGCTCTCTTGTCCACCCTCACCCCCCCCGAGGAGCGTCGGTGCCCCCCAGCGCGCCCGCTGCCCGCAGGATGGCCCGCCCGGCCGCGGCTCCCGCAGGTATGGCGCCCCCCGAGGGACACTGGTGAGAGCCCCCGTGGCGGCTGAGTCATGGCCAGAGCCTGCTGCTGCTCCTTGTGCTGGGACGGTGCTGAGAACAGCGCTGATGGGCCCAGGGGCTTAGAGGTGGCTCCTGGCCAGGGGGGCCCACTCTGCCCCTGAGCCCACCTGAGGCACTCCCAGTGCTGCTGGGCAGTGTTCCCCCTATGTCCAGCCTGGTGAGGATGGGGCAGGGCCTGGTGCAAGCAGAAATGGCTGGGCTGGGGTCTGTGCCCCTGTGTGGGACTCTCAGGGGGGCTGGCAGGAGCAGGGTCCTCAACACAATGCCTGCGAGCCAGTGCTGGGCATGTGCCCAGAGCTAGGCATGCTGCTGTGGAAACAGCAGCTCCAGGACATAGGGCTCTGGAGGCTGGGGCTGCCCGGTCCCCATGGCTGCTGCCCTCCTGGAGCTGGTGCCAGGTTCCCATCCCTGTCCCTGTGCCAGGCCCTGGGCTGCACCCACCGCCCCCTGGACCCCCAGCCGGTGGAGAGGAGGTCGTGCGTGGCATTGCTGTTGAGAAGTTTGACATTGTCAAGAAGTGGGGGATCAACACCTACAAGGTGAGGGGACACTGGTGGGCCTTCCTGCCTCACTCCCACAAGCAGCTGCTCTCAGAGGGGTTTTGGGCACTCACATGTACCTTGGCCCCTGTCTCCCCCTGCTGCAGTGCACCAAGCAGCTGCTCTCAGAGGGGTTTGGGGGACTCACGTGTGCTTTGGGCCCTGTCTCCCCTGTTGCAGTGCACCAGGCAGCTGCTCTCAGAGGGGTTTTGGGACTCACACATGCCTTGGGGCCCCATCTCCCCCTGCTGCAGTGCACCAAGCAGCTGCTCTCAGAGGGGTTTGGGGGACTCACACATGCTTTGGGGCCCCATCTCCCCCTGCTGCAGTGCACCAAGCAGCTGCTGTCGGAGCGGTTCGGCCGAGGGTCCCGCACGGTGGACCTGGAGCTGGAGACCCAGATCGAGCTGCTGCGGGAGACCAAGCGCAAGTACGAGAGCGTCCTGCACCTGGCACGGGCACTCACGGCCCACCTCTACAGCCTCGTGCAGACCCAGCACGCCCTGGGCGACGCCTTTGCTGACCTCAGCCAGAAATCCCCCGAGCTACAGGTGTGCCAGGGCTAGGGGGACACTGCAGTGAGGGCAGGGACACCTGGGCTGGGGGGAGCAGGGGTGGCTGGAGCTTGACCCTGGGGTTGTGGAGGTTAGGACTTGGGGAGTCACACTTGGGCACCAGGGCAGAAACACAATCTGCACAAGAGTGGATGTTGTGCTGCTGCTGGGCTGGGTGGTGCTGTGTCATGGTTGGCCTTGGTGGTCTCAGGGGGCTCTTCCCCCAGAATCCTTGATGGAGGGGAGTGGGGATGGGATCTGTGGCCCCTCACTGTGGCCCCATCCCTGTGTCCCCAGGAGGAGTTTGGGTACAACGCAGAGACACAGAAGCTGCTCTGCAAGAACGGGGAGACGCTGCTGGGCGCTGTCAACTTCTTTGTGTCCAGCATCAACACGCTGGTCAACAAGACCATGGAGGACACGCTCATGACAGTCAAGCAGTACGAGACAGCCAGGTGGGACAGGGGGCTCAGGAGGCTTGGGGCTCCTGGGCAGGCCTGGGGGCAGGCCTATGATGGCAGGGATGCTGTGCAGGTTGGAGTATGACGCATACCGCACGGACCTGGAGGAGCTGAGCATGGGCCCGCGCGACGCTGGCGCCGTCAGCCGCCTGGACGCCGCCCAGAGCCAGTTCCAGAGCCACAAGGACAAGTACGAGAAGCTGCGGGCAGACGTGGCCATCAAGCTCAAATTCTTGGAGGAGAACAAGGTGGGTGCAGGGATGGGAGGTGCAGGGTGGGGATGGGGACACAGGAATGGGAGATGCAAGACAGAGGTGAGGCATGCAGAGATGGGGCACATGAGGAGGGGGGATTTGGGGCAGGGATGGGGGGAAGTGCAGGGTTAGGAGGCACAGGGATGGGGTCACTGCAGGGATTTGACAGCCACACTGGATTTGTCACTCAAGGACACGAATTGGGTGGAATGGGCAGTGCAGAGGGAGAGCAGTGGCACTCGGGGGGGTCTCAGAGGGCTTTCCAACCCCTTTTCTGTGCTGTTGGGGTGGGCTCATGCCCCCCCGGTCATGATCCCTCCCCTCCCAGATCAAGGTGATGCACAAGCAACTGCTGCTGTTCCACAATGCCATCTCTGCGTACTTTGCTGGGAACCAGCAGCAGCTTGAGCAGACCCTCAAGCAGTTCAACATCAAGCTCAAGACCCCCGGCGCCGAGAAGCCCTCCTGGCTGGAGGAGCAGTGAGCCCCCGTGCCCCCCCGGATGGAGGAGCACACATGGACCTCAATTGTGGCCGGGGGCTCGTGGGGGCCACAGCCCAGGCCTGTCTTGGATGGGGGGGGGCCCCCAGGTGTGGGGAGCTGCCAGAGGGCTGGGTCCCCCCTCATCCCACAGCCCCTCCTCAGGGCAGGGTGCAGCAGCTCCTCGGCACAGACCCCACACAGCAGACAGCTGGAGCCCCCCTGCCCCTGACACTCCCAAGGGGGCTGGCTGAGCTGCTGCCCCCAGACACCCCACTCACCCTGGGGTGAGCCAGGACCTTCCACTGTCCCCCCTCTGCCTCCCCAGGGCAGGATGAGGGTGCACCCCTCCCAGGCCCACTGCCACTTCCCCCCAGGGAGCCCCCTGCCCTGTGGCACAGTGGAGCTGGGTGGGGGCAGCACCGGCACAGCCAGGCCCCCCTGTATTGAGGAGGGGCTGTGGGGCTGCACCTGGCACTCAGGGGGCTCCTGCTCTGCCTGCCAGTGCTAGGGACACCCCAGCCCCCTCCAGGCCATTCACAGGTTTTTCCAGCCTGGCTGCTCATGCACTCCTGATTCACAGGGGGCTGCACCCCCAAAGACCCCCCTGCTTCCCCAACCGGGGCTGTGGCACCCTGGGCTGGGCTGGTGAGGGGTCCCTGTGCCCTGCTGCTCGTGGCAGGGGGAGTCGCTGGCCAGGCATAGGTCCCCTGGAACCCTGGGAGAGGACAGGGGGCTCCAAGCAGGGACCAAAGGTCAGTGGAGGCACAGGGGGTGCACGCGTATCCATGCGTGTCCGTGTGCGGGCACACGCGTGTCCCCGGACTGGGCACCTGTGCTGCACACGGGGGCTGGGGTCCCGGCCAGGGCCCACCCCCACCCCATGAGGGGCCCCCCGCTACCCCCGCACTTGGGCACTTTCTCCTGAGACAAAACTGTTGGTTTTTCTTGCTCATTAATTTAACTCATAATTTAATGTCGGGATCCGACTTCCCCCTGCCCCGCCCTGGTGACGGTCTGACCCCCCAAGCCCCTGACTTCTGTAAAACCCCAATAAATGGTACAGATCAGTGTGTGCTGAGCCACAGCGGGACAAGGAGGGGCTGCAGCTGCAGGCTGCGGCTGCCAGGGTGGGTGGGAGATGGGGGCATGAGCCCCACAACAGTGAGGACCCTGATGGACCCCTAGGGCAAGGGGGACTGGCTGCTACTTCTGGGGTCCCAGGCTTGGAAGGGGAATGAGCTGGAGCACGGGAGAGATGGCTCTGGGGGTGAGAGAGGGGCTTGGGGGGATCCTGCTTCCCCTCCGGCAAGGGGAGCCACCCCTTGCTCCAGCCCCGTGGCACCAGCATGAACCAGGACCAGGTGGGAGTCAATGGGGACAGGATGGGGGGCACCACATGGGGAGGCTGGGTGGGATCGGCCTGGGGTTCCTGGCACCATCACCACTATCCCACTGGTGTCACTGAGAGCTCGGGAGTCCCACAGGATGGATTCCCCTTCCCCAGGCCAGGCACTGGGGCTGGTGCCATCTGGTGCCCTCCTCCATTGCCCTTCAACCTATTCCTACTCTAGGAATTGGATTTGTCCAATTTCTGCTCCCCTGGGGCTCCTGGACACCCCCCAGGACACTCACTGGCCCCTGGGACACTGCCTTCAGAAGATTCCCAGCCCTCCTGAACCTTCCTCCTGGACACCCTCTCCCTCTGCCCCCTGGAACACTGAAGCCCTCCCATGGGGTCCTGCCACTCCCCAGACATGGATGTGAGCAATCCCTGGCCATGCTGAGCTGCTGGGCTCGGGTGGGTGTCTGCCCCCAAGGGATGAGAGCTGTTCCAGGTGCCTGCTCTGTGCCCCCAGGCCCATCCTCCAGGTCCTGTGGGATACTGGGGAAGGACCCGGGATCTCTGTGGGGAGGAAGAGCTGATGGAGGTGAGGATGGAGGTCCTTGGTGGAGGGGAGCCCCCGTGCTGCTCCCGTGCTGCAGGTGTCCCAGCAGCTGATCCCCACCGTGCTGCAGGTGGGACACGCGAAGCCTCAGCCCCCACTGCTGTGTCTGGGGGTGCTGGCTGTGAGTGGGGGGTCCTGGGGGTGGGTCCCGTGTTCCAGGGCAGGTCATCCCCATCACCCTCATCATCATCATCCCTGCTCCTGGGGCACCGTGATGGCTGCACAGCCAGGTCTGGCCTGGCTGCGGAACCCTCCAGACACTGAGGCCAAAGTGGAGGGGCAGGGAACCATGCTGGGGCCCCCCATGTGGATTTGGACAGATTTACTGGGGGGCTGGTTCATGGCAGAGCCCTGGCTCCATCCTGGAGCTGATGGGTCTCCCTGATAGGTCCCCAAATGTGCTGGGCTGGGTCAGCACCTTCCTGTCCCTGTGGCCATCATCCCCCCATGGCCCAGTCCAGCAGTGACCTGGCTGGGGATAGGGGCACCTCCTCTGTACCTCTGGAGCTCCAGCTCTGCCAGGATGCCCTGTCCAAGACCTGCCTCACCCAAAGGAGGCAGCCGGGAGCTGCTGGAATTCCCGGGAAGCTGCAGCAGGTGGGCTCGATGCCACGTCCTGAACAGGGTGGGGGGGGGCACCAGCTGATGGGGGGGATGGTGATGAGGGGGGTCCCACGTGGAGGAGGAGCTGTGGCAGCTGGCAGGTGGGAAGAAGCGTGGGCTTCCTAAAAACTGAGGGGCTGGGGTGGGCCTACTGTGCTCTGGTTTTAGTCCTATCCCCCCCTTTATAAACCCCTTTGTACCCGGCCTGTACCTCCTTTATACCACCCCTCTATAACCGCTATGTTACACCTCTTTTTACCTGTGCATCCCCCTCGCCGCCCTTTATACCCACCTGTTCGCCTTGACCTTCCCTTTATTCCCCCTTTTATATTCTTCCTACTTCCCAATTTATTCCACCCGTCACCCCACGCTCGGTAACCCCCCGCCGCGCCATGCCCCCACCCACCAGTGTGGGCCCACATTCCCCAGCCCTGCTCCCCCTCCAATTTGGGGTCAGCCCCCCCAGATTCGAGGTCGGGATGTGGTTGCCGTGGCAACAGCCGGGTACCCCTGGATGCGCGGAGCCCCCCCCAGCTGCAGAGCCACAGCCCAGGGCGAGACCACTGCCGCTGGAGGGGGGGCCGAGGGGTCACTTTGCGCACTTTCCCGCCGCACCCTCCCCACGAGCCCCCCAGCCGGGGGCGGCAGCGCGTCCTGCGGCGGCGCCTCGGCACCGCGCGTGGGGTGTCCTCGGGGGCGGGTTCCGTGGGACTGGGAGGCGGTGGCGCGTCCCGCCTCCCCCTGCGGAGCGCGGTTGGTGCCGCCCGGCCCGGCCGCCTCCCTGTCGCATCCCGGGCCGGGGCCGAGGATGCGCCGTGGGGTCCCGCGGCGCGCGCGGGAGCGAGGAGGGGGCTGCGGGGGGGGTGAGTGCGGGGGTGAGCGGGGGCGGCCCCGGCACCGGGCACCGGGCGGGGGGGGGGGCACCGCGGGGAGGGGTGTGAGGGGCGGGGGGGGGGGGGCGGGATGGCCGCGGGCAGCGCCCCCCGGGCCCCGCGGGCCGTGGGACCCCCGGGCCCCGCCGTGCCCCGGTGCCGCGGGGGGGGCGGTGCCGCACAATGGCGGCCGGGGCGGGGCCGCGGCCTGGAGCGCGGAGCCGCCGCAGCGCCGTGAGCGGGGCCGGGGCTGGGGCGGGGGACAGCGGCGGTGGGCACGGGGCTGCGGGGTCAGTGCGGCGACGGAGACAGGGGGGTGAGGGGTGTCGCACGGGACCGGGGCTGGGCTCGGTGCCGGGGGGCTCAGGAGGCGGCGGCGGCGGCGGTGGGGTGTGCCCCTGGGGCGGGAGGGCGCTGCTGTGGGTGCCCTGTGGCGATTCCTCACCATGGATGGTGCCATGGGGCCAAGGAGAGGGGCTGTGGGGTCAGTGCGTTCCAAGGGGCAGGAGGGGCAGGGCAGTGCCGGGGACACGGTGCTGTGTGAGGCTGTGGGGGCCATGGGCACGGTGGGGTCAGGGGGCGTCCCCGTGTGTGCCCCACAAGGTGTCTGTGGGGCCAGGGACTGCGGGATGCCTTGGGGTGGGTGCCCCGGGGTGCTGAGCCCTCATGCCACGGGGTGAGTGTCTGTTATGCCCTTCTGTGGGGCTGTGGGGTGAGTAGGGGGCTGCGGAGCACGGTGGGTTCAGTGGTGGGCTGCAGGGTGCCATGCAGTGCCTCCCCAGCATTTAAATTCCCCCCACTCTCGGGCTGAGGGTCTGCCATGACCCACCCCGAGCCTGTGGGGCGGGTGGACGCTGTGTGGCGCCGTGGTTGGGGCTGGGAGCGGCCGTGGGGTGCCGGCAGCGCCGTGGGGTGCTGCAGGGTGCGTGCCCCTCACTGTGGTGTGCCCGCCAGGCTGAGGAGCCACCATGGCCCGCCATGAGCCCGCCAGCCCGGTGGTGCGGCAGATTGACCAGCAGTTCCTGATCTGCAGCATCTGCCTCGACCGCTACTGCAACCCCAAGGTGCTGCCCTGCCTGCACACCTTCTGCGAGAGGTGGGACCTCCCGAACCCACCTGAGCCCCCTGCATCCTCCCAAACCCCATCCCTGCCTGCACGCTTTCTGTGAGAAATGGGACCTCCTGAGCCCCCCCTGAACCCCTCCTGAGCCCCCCCTGCACCCCCTGAACCCAATCCCTGCCTGCACACCTCCTGTGAGAGGTGGGACCCCTCATTACACTTCCTCCCTGCCCCCCACTGCACCCCCGGTGTACCCTCTGTGCCTGGCACCCACTCTCCATCCCCACTGTGTCTCTGGGCACCCCTACACCCCTCCCGTGCCCTCTGCACCCCACCAGCATCCATCCCCAGCACATCCCCACCGTGCCCTGGGCCCCCTGCACCCCCTGAGCCCTGACTGCAGCCCTGCCACTGCCACCCTCCAAATGCACTCCCCATGTCCTTACTGCCCCCCTGCACCCCCAACTGCTCTGCCCCTCCAGCACCTATCCCTCTGCCCCCCAGTGCACCCAGCCCCCTCTGCCTTGCTGCACCCCCTGTGTCCCTGAGCCTGCACCCCAGCACTACTGGCTGCACCCCCATGTGCCCCACTGCACCCCCTAAACCCTCAGTGTGAGCAGAACCCCCCTGAGCCCCACTGGTGTGAGCCAGGCCCTCCTGCACTCCCTGCCCTCCCAATGAGAGATGGAGTCAGGCCTCCTGTGCCGCCAGAGGTGGGGACTGGGACCCCCCTGCATCCATGGCGCACAGTGGGGCTGGGACCCCCTGCCCTCCACACCCCTCTTCTCTGGGAGGGCTGCACAGCCCCTGAGCCCCCTGAGTGTGGGTGCTGGGGGCACCCTGGCTGGGTCCCCAAGTGGGGGGATCTTGTTGCTGATGTCCCCCTCTCTCTGTGCTCCCAGAGCCCTCTGGTCCTACTCCATCCATCCATCCATCCATCCATCCATCCATCCATCCATCCATCCATCCATCCATCCATCATCTCCCCAGGGGCACTGGCACTGCTACCCCTTGTCCATCCTGTCCATTTGTCTGACTGCCCGCTCCCCTGCCACTCCCCCACCTGGTGTGACACCACACAGCCCTCCAGTCTGTCTGTCCATCTGTGTCTCCCATCCTCATGTGACACTGTGCAGCCCCCCCATGTGACTGTCCGTCTGTCCTCCTCCTGCACCCCAGTGTGACACTGCAGCCCTGCCATCTTGTCCATCTGTCCCCTGGTTTGTCTGTCCCTCCCACCCTGTTCTCACCCCCAGGTGCTCCACCACGCAGCCCCCATGTCTGTGTGTCCATCTCTCCCCCTTCTCTCTGCCTGCACCCCAACCCTTTGGGTCTGTCTCGCTGCCCCCCTCTCCCTGTGTTCCTCATTGCCCTGTCTGTCCATCCTGCTGCTCCTGTCCCACTGTCAGTGTGTTCAGCCCCCCTGTCCATCCATCTGTCCCCAGGCCTATCCACGTGCCCTTGTCCTGCACCCTGACCCTTGTGTTCATCTGTCCATCCCACTCTCTCTACCTGCCCCCAACCCTAGGTGGCACGTTCACCCTTCTGTCCCCCCATCAACCTGTCCGTCCGTTCCCCTGTCTCCCTGTCCATCCGTCTGTCCCTTCATCCCCCTGTTCTGCCCCCACAGCCATGCCCCATCCCCCACCCCAGCAGGCCCTGTCCCCCCACCCATCCCCTCATCTGTCCCCCTGTTGTCCCTATATCTGGACCCACGTGCCCCCTGTGCCCCCACTCCTGTCCCTGCCCCTTCATGTCCTGGCCCAGTCTGTCCCTGCCATGCCCGTGTGACCCCTGACCCCTGTGACCCCCTGACCCCTGTGACCCCAGGTGTCTGCAGAACTACATTCCGGCCCAGAGCCTGTCCCTGTCGTGCCCCGTGTGCCGCCAGACCTCGATCCTGCCTGAGCGGGGTGTCCCGGCGCTGCCCAACAACTTCTTCATCACCAACCTGATGGAGGTGCTGCAGCGGGACCCCGACCCCCGCGGGGCCCCCCCTGCGCCCCTGCCCCCCCTGGGCGCCGCCACCGGGCAGCCGCTCTGCTGCCCCAACCACGAGGGAAAGGTGGGGCCAGGCGCTGGCCAGGGGCTGGGGGGCTGTGCTGGGGGCTCGAGGGGGCTGGGGGGGCTGCAGGGACCTGGGGGGCTGCAGGTGTCTGGGGGGCCTGGGGAGGTCCCAAGGGCTGATGTGACTCAGGGGCACTGGGGACCTGCAGGAGCTGGAAAGGCTCTAGGAGGGCTGGGATCTGGGGAAGGAAGGCTAAGGAGGTCTGTGAGGATGTGGAAGGTCTGTGAGGGTCAAGGGGGCTCGGAGGGGCTGCAGGCCTTGGAGAAAGGGTCCAGAGAGGGTCTGGGGAGGCTGCAGTGGTCCCGGGAGTGTGGGGGAGGCTGTGTGGGCTCAGGAGGTGATTTGGGGCAGGCTGCAGGGTCCTTGGGCTGAGGTGTGGGGCAGCAGGTGAGCGCAGGTGTGGCAGGTGATGGAGTTCTACTGCGAGCCCTGCGAGACGGCCATGTGCCGGGAGTGCACGGAGGGGGAGCGGCGGGAGCACCGGGACCACCGCACCGTGCCGCTGCGCGACGTGCTGGAGCAGCACAAGGCAGCCCTGCAGCACCAGCTGGACGCCGTGCGTGCCAGGTACGGGGGCAGGGGGTGCTGGGGGTCCCAGGGCCCCACTCCCTCTGGGATCAGTGCCGGCTTGATGCCACCCACACACGGTACAGAGGGAGGAGAGGCTGAGGGTGTCGTGGGTACTGTGGGGTTTGAGGGTTCAGGGAGTGCCCGTGTCCTCTTTCTGCAGAGTACCACAGCTGGATGAGGGTGCTGTGGGGGATTTCAGGGTTCAGGTGGGGTTGGTGGGGGTTTGGGACTTCAGGGGGTCCCTGTGTCTCCCCAGGCTCCCGCAGCTGGCGGCAGCTGTGGGGCTGGTAGCCGAGATCAGCCGGCAGCTGGGGCAGCGCCGGGCTGAGGCTGAGGCGGAGATCGGGAGCAGCTTCGAGGAGCTGGAGGCAGCGCTGCGGCAGCGGCGGGAGGTGCTGCTGCGCGACCTGGAGGCCACCTGTGCTGCTAAGCAGCAGGTAACACACCTGGGGCTCTGTGCCCTTCACCAGCCCTTCCTGGGAGGGTGTGTGGGTACCCCAGCCATGCCCCACTGCTGGTGGCCCAGCCGGTGCAACAGTTGGGGTCCCAGTGCGGCACCAGCACTGGGGTTGTGGCCGTGGCTGCGGTGCAGGTGGGGGAGCATGTGGAGCCTTGGTTAGGGGTGCTGGGTGTGGGGGTCCCACACGGACACCACAGAGACGTGCCATCCCCACAGGATGCGCGGAGGGGCGGCTGGAGGTCCTGGCAGGGCCAGGATGTGGCTCAGGTGTGGGTGTTGGCACCGGGGTCCCACCTGGTGCCACAGGTGATGTCCTGTGGTTCAAGTGTGGGTGTTGCACTGGGGTCCCACCTGGTGCCACAGGTGATGATGTCCTGGTCGCGCAGGTGCTGGAGGCGCAGCTGGAGGTGCTGCGGCAGGGCCAGGAGAGCATCCTGAGCAGCTGCGCGTTCACGGAGCAGGCGCTGCACCACGGCTCGGCCACGGAGGTGCTGCTGGTGCAGAAGCAGATGGGCGAGCGGCTGCGGGAGCTGGCGGCGCGGCCCTTCCCCGAGCACCCGCACGAGAACGCGCAGCTCGAGTTCCACGCCGAGCCCGAGGGGCTGCGCCGCTCCATCCAGAACCTGGGCGCGCTGCTGACCACCAGCGCCACGGCGCACACCACGGTGGCCACGGGCGAGGGGCTGCGCCAGGCTGTGGTGGGGCAGCCCTGCTCACTCAGCGTCACCACCAAGGACAAGGACGGGGCGCTGGTGCGCAGCGGCGGCGCCCGCCTGCGCTTCGCCGTGACGGGCCCCGACGGCGCCGCGGCCGAGGCCGAGGTGCAGGACAACCGCAACGGCACCTACGAGCTGGTGTACACCCCGCGCAACGAGGGCGACTTCGTGCTGTCCATCCTGCTCTACGGGCAGCCCGTGCGCGGCTCCCCGTTCCGCGCGCGCGCCCTGCGCCCCAGCGACGTGCCCCCGTCCCCCGAGGAGGCCAAGCGCCGCGTCAAGTCCCCGGGCGGGGGGCACGTGCGGCAGAAGGCCCTGCGCCGCCCCGCCAGCATGTACGGCAGCGCCAAGCGCAAGGAGAACCCCATCGAGGACGAGCTCATCTTTCGCGTCGGTGAGTGGGGGGCAGGGGGGTGTCTTGGGATGGTGGGGGCTCCCCAGGGCTCCTCATGGCTCTCTGGGGTGGTGGTGGAGGGCCCCAGGGCATGGCAGGGGTTTACCGGGGTGGTGAGTGGTCTCCCGGGGCCCCATGTGCCCCCCTGACTGGTGCCTGCAGGCAGCCGTGGCCGGGAGAAGGGCGAGTTCACCAACCTGCAGGGGATCTCCACATCCAGCGCCGGCCGCATCGTTGTGGCTGACAGCAACAACCAGTGCGTGCAGGTATGAACACCCTTGGGACCTCCAAACCCCCCCAGGACCCCCACTGACTCTTGTTGCCCCCCACTGACCCCGACAGCAACAATCAGTGCATGCAGGTATGGACCCCTGGGACCCCCGCTGACCCCCCCCCGGGTAACCCTGAACCCCCATGACCCCACTGACCCCATCAGCAGTAACCAATGTGTGCAGGTACAGTACCCTCCTTGGATCCCTGAAGTGTCCCAGACCCCCACTGACTCCCCCTGCTCCCCCCTGGCCCCCACAGTGGTTCTCCAATGGGGGGCAGTTCTGGCTGCATTTCAGGGTGGGGGGTGTTGCCCTGGTTCCCCTGACCCTGCTGCCCTCGCAGGTGTTCAGTAACGAGGGGCAGTTCCGGCTGCGTTTCGGGGTGCGGGGCCGTTCCCCAGGGCAGCTCCAGCGCCCCACAGGGGTCTCAGTGGACACCAATGGTGACATCATCGTGGCCGACTACGACAACCGCTGGGTCAGCGTGTTCTCACCTGAGGGCAAGTTCAAGGTGAGGCAAAGCAGGGCTCTGAGGGGGAGCCATGAGCTGGGGGTCCATGGCAGCTCCCAGCCTCACTGCCTGTCCCCCCCCAGACAAAGCTGGGTGCGGGGCGGCTGATGGGCCCCAAGGGCGTCGCTGTGGACAAAAACGGGCACATCATCGTGGTGGACAACAAGGCTTGCTGCGTCTTCATCTTCCAGCCCAACGGCAAGCTGGTGGCACGGTTTGGCTCCCGCGGCACCGCCGAGCGCCAGTTCGCAGGTACCTGCCCTGGGACCCCCCAGCTGGGAGCCCAGGGCAGGCAGGACCGTGTGCCCCACATTGCTGGGGCAGCTGGTGGCACTGGGACCCCAAGAATGGCCTGAGCCTGGGGCACAGGTCCAGGCTGCAGTTCTAGACTTGCTTTCTGGATCCAGCTCTGGGCTGTGGGTTCAGGTTCTGGGCTCAGGACTTATTCTGAGCTCTGGTTTGAGTTCTGGGGCTGGACAGGGAGCCAGGATCTGGTTCTAGGTCCAGCACCAGGTTCAGGGCGCTGGGGTGATGATCCAGTTCCAGGTTCTATCTCTGGGCTCTGGTTCAGGACTGAGATCCCAGGCTCTGAGTTCAGGGTTTGGTTCTGGGTTGGGTCTGGGTTCTGAGCCTGTGTGTCCTAGACTGGGGCACTGGGTTTAGTTCTGGATACAGATTGTGGGTCTGGGTTCTGGGTTCAGTTCTGGGTTGGGGCCCTGGGCTCAGGTTCTGGCAGTGGCTCCATCCTGGGGGCTCTGAGTTCTGGGCTCTGTCCATGCCTCAGGGCTCTGGGTCCATTCTGATCCTGCCATAGAATGGGGCCAGGGCTGAAACTCCGCCATTCCCCTCAGGGCCGAGCCCCCCGGTCCTGGGGATGAGTTCCCTGTGCCCCTCTTGGCCTGAGCCCCCTTTGTCTCCTCAGGACCCCATTTTGTGGCTGTCAACAACAAGAATGAGATCGTGGTGACAGACTTCCACAACCACTCTGTGAAGGTGAGTGCAGGCACAGGCAGGTGCTGAGAGCCCCCTGGTGCTCTGAGGGCGGGCTGAGGGCTGCAGTGACCCCCCTGTGCCCACCAGGTGTACAATGCCGAGGGTGAGTTCCTGTTCAAGTTCGGCTCGCACGGCGAGGGCAACGGGCAGTTCAACGCACCCACGGGGGTGGCTGTGGACAGCAACGGCAACATCATCGTGGCTGACTGGGGCAACAGCCGCATCCAGGTACCACACCTGTGCCCACAGGGACGCCTGTGCTGGCATGGACACACGGACACCTGTGCCCGCACGGACACACAGACAGCTGTGCCTGCATGGACACACGGACACCTGTGCCCGCACGGACACACGGACATACACACACACACACCTGTGCCTGCATGGACACACGGGCACCTGTGCCTGCATGGACACACGGACACCTGTGCCTGCATGGACACATGGACTCCTGTGCCTGCATGGACACATGGACTCCTGTGCCCGCACGGACACACGGACACCTGTGCCCGCACGGACACACGGACACCTGTGCCTGCACGGACACACACACCTGTGCCCGCACGGACACACACACCTGTGCCCGCACAGACGCCTGTGCTGGCACGGACACACGGACACCTGTGCCCACACGGACACACGGACACCTGTGCCTGCACGGACACACACACCTGTGCCCGCACGGACGCCTGTGCTGGCACAGACACACGAACGGCTGTGCCCGCACAGACACACGGACATACACATACACACACACACCTGTGCCTGCACAGACGCCTGTGCTGGCATGGACACACAGACACCTGTGCCTGCATGGACACACAGCTGTGCCTGCATGGACACACGGACACCTGTGCCTGCACAGACACACGGACACCTGTGCCTGCATGGACGCACAGACAGCTGTGCCTGCATGGACACACGGACACCTGTGCCCTCACAGACACACGGACATACACACACACACACACACACACACCTGTGCCTGCACGGACACATGGACACCTGTGCTGGCATGGACACACGGACACCTGTGCCTGCATGGACACACACACCTGTGCCCACATGGACACCTGTACTGGCACAGACACACAGACACCTGTGCCTGCACAGACACACAGAATCCTGTGCCTGCACAGACACCTGTGCCTACATGGACACCTGTGCCTGCACACCTGTACCTGCACAGACAGCTGTGCCCACACAGACACACACAGACACCTGTGCCTGCCCAGACACCTGTGCCTGCATGCCTGCACACCTGTGCCTGCACTGACACCTGTACCTGCAGACCTGTACCTGCACACATCCCCCCAGTGCAGCCCAAGGGGGCTCAGCACTGCCCCCTCCCCATCCCACGTGTGTGCTGAGGGCACCTGCAGGGAACCAGGACACAACTGTGTTTGAGTGAGAGAGACTGGAGAGGATCTTGGGTCAGTGGGGAAGAGTCTGTGCAGGGTCTGCAGTCAGATGGGAGGGGTCAGACAAATGGGAGCAGCAGAGGAGGGTCTCTGGTCAACTGGGAATGGTCCGTGGGGGCCCAGGGGCAACTGGGAAGAACTGGGAAGAGTTTTGCACCAAGAGCAACTGGGATGGACTGGGAAGGGGTCTGGGGTCATCTGGGAACAACTGGGAGCGTCTTGGGTTAACTGGAATAGACCCAGGGGGGGATCTTGACCACGTGCCCCCACAGGGAGTGCATCCCGCAGGTCTGGGGGCTGTCAGGGCTGGGTGTCCCTGGGCCCTGGGGCCATTGGGGGTCCCTGGGGCTGGGTGTCCCTGGGCCGTGGGGCACAGCACTGTGCACTCCTGCAGGTGTTTGACAGTGCGGGCTCGTTCCTGTCCTACATCAACACGGCGGCTGACCCGCTGTACGGCCCGCAGGGGCTGGCCCTCACCTCCGATGGCCACGTGGTCGTGGCTGACTCGGGCAACCACTGCTTCAAGGCCTATCGCTACCTGCAGTGACGGCCAGGGCACCGGGCACGGCACCGGGCACGGCAGCAGGAGCCTGCAGCTACACCGGGGGCACGGCTGCCCCGCGGCCTCGCCTGCCCCCCAAGCGCCATCCTGGCTTCATGTGCACTTTATCCCAGGGGGCAGCCGGGCCTGGGGGGGTGAGGATGGGTCCCGTGGGGTGGGGGCTGCCTGGGGGTCACGGTCTGGCCCCTCACCCACGGCAGGGCCAGCATCCCACTGCCCCTGCTGACAGGGTTCCCGAGGTGTGGGGGGACTGAGGGGCAGGGGGAGCCGCTGGAAGGGCTTGTGGGGGGCTGGGGGTGGCCAGTCCAGAGCCCCACGCCCCTTGAGGGCTGCCCCCCAGCTCCCAGCTCCCCTCCCCAGCTGTGGGGTGACTGTGTGTGCCTGCTGCCCCACTGCACTGCTGCTCCACAGCTCTGGGGGGCTCCAGGGGCTGTGGGGCAGCTGCCGCACGCTGACAAAACTGTATGTACAAAATAAAGTATTCTGGAAGTACCCCGGCCCGTGCTGCCCCGTAGCCCTGGCTGTCCTTCACACACCCTGCCCTGCAGCCCCCGTGGCCTGTGGGCCCCCCCAGCTGCACTGGACAGCCCCAGACAGTGCCAGGCCAGCAGGGACAGGAGCCGTGCCTGGATCTCAGTGGCACCGTGGGCGCCTGCCTGGCCTGGGCGTTCTGCCAGCACTGACCCATCTGCAGGGACAGGGACACACTGGGAGTGGGGACAGGGTTAGACTGGTCTGTATTGGGTCAGAGTGGTCTGTGCTGGCAGCAGGGTTTGGGCTGGACTGGTCTGTATTTATACTGGGTCAGACTGGGCTGTACTGGCATGGAGACTGGGTCAGACTGGGCTGTACTAGGAGTAGGAACTGGTCCATACTGGTCCGTGTACCCAGGAGAAAGTGGTCAGTGACCTGCTGAGCTGCTCAGACCCCAGTGGACCCCCGGGGATACCACAGGGGCTGTGGAGGGGTCACGGGGCTGCTCCACCCGGTCCTCACCGACTCTGGCCATCCCTGGGGGATCCTGGATGGCAGCAGAGCTCACCAGACCCTGCTCATCACCCCCACCAGCCCCAGGGGTGTCTGTGACCCTGTTCCCAAGCAGGGCTGGAGGGAGGATCCAGGGAAGTCCCTGTTCCTGGTCCTGATGCTGGGAAGCTCCCAGAACAGATCACCTGTGGGTCCCACAGCATGGGCAGGACAGCCAGGGGATCAGATCCAGCTGGGGGCTGGGAAAGGCAGGTCCTGCTGGGACAGGGTGACCTGTGGGACAGGTGTGGGTGTGCCTGCCTGAAGCTCAGCAAAGCCTTTGGCACCATCTCTGTCTCCCTGGCATCCCACGGAGCACCTGCAGCCTGGCTGGGACAGGTGCTCCTTGTTGGGAGCACCTGGCTGAGGGCCAGCCCCAGGGAGGGGTGGGAATGGGGCCACACTGGGGGCCAGGCACTGCTGGACTCCCCAGGGCTCAGTGCTGGGGCGGTGCTGTCCCAGAGCTGTCAGTGACCTGGATGGAGCGTGGAGTCCATGGACCACACATGGCTGGTTGGAATGTGGCTCTGCCGAGGGCAGGAAGGATCCCAGAGGGGTCTGGCCAGGCTGGACTAACGAGCCAAGGCCAGCGGTGTGAGGGTCAACAAGGGCAAGTGCTGGGGCTTCTGCTCGGGTCACCAAAACCCCTGCAACACCCCAGGCTGGGCAGAGGGGCAGGGGGCTGCAAACGGCCCTGGGGGTGCTGGGCACAGGGGCTGGATGTGAGCCCAGGTGTGCCCAGATGGGCAAGAGGCTGATGGCACCTGGTCTGTGCCAGCCCCAGAGTCGGCACAGACCCAGTGTGGGCATAGCCCCAGGGCAGGGATTGTCCCCCATGGCAGGGATTGTCCCCTGTGCTGGCACTGTGTGACACCTCGAGGGCTGTGTCCAGTTCTGGTCCTGCAGGAGAGCCCTGGAGGGGCTGGAGCATGTCCACGGCAGGGAATGGAGCTGGGAAGGGGCTGAGCCTGGAGCAAAGGAGGCTCAGGGGGGACCTTTCCAGGAAACAAGTGACAGGACAAGAGGAAACGGCCACAAGCGGTGCTTGGGGAGGTTCAGGTTGGACATCAGGAGGAATTTCTTCATGGAAAGGGCTGCCCCGTGCTGGAAGGGGCTGTCCAGGGAGGTCTGGAGTGCCCATCCCACGTCCAAGGAAAAGCAGGAGGTGGCACTCGGAGCTCTGGGCTGGAGACAAGGTGGGGATCAGTCACAGGCTGGACTCAGCCTTGGCGGTCTCACCAAACGGAGTGGCTGCGATCCTGTGCGGGATCAGACCGGTCCCCACACCCCGTGTCACCGTCGCTGCTCCTGGCCGGACCCCTGGTGCTGCCCCTCCGGGGCTGGTAAGAGCCGGGAGCCTCCCGGTCCAGCCGGGGTTGGGGGGTTCCGGGGGCACAGCAGCCGCAGGGAGTCCCGGTGCTGCCCCGGCCCCGTCCCGGTGTGGGGGCAGCGGGGTGGAAACCGGCGGTGCCGGTGCCTTGCGGGATGTCGCTAGGGGTAACGGGGGGCTCAGCTGGGCTGAACGGGTCCGTGGCACCGGAACAATGGGGCGGGCATAGGCAGTGTCGGGGTCACCGGCCCGGGAGTGTCGCCGGGGGGAAGGTCCCCCGTTCCGCCCAGGTCCCGCTGCCGCACAGGGCCGGATCGAGCTGCCCGCCGCCGGCAAGGCCTGGGGCTCCCGCTCCCGGCGGGTACTCGGGGGTCTTCGGTGGTGCGTGCCGGGCAGGGTCCGGAGAGGGGCCGGCGGTACCGAAGAGGTGCCGGTGGTCCCGCCGGTGCCGGGGAGGGCCCGGCGGGTGCCGGTAGTCCCGGCCGGTGCCGGTGCTGGTGCCGGTACCGGTACCGGAGGCGGCGCTGTCCCTCCGCCGGCCGGAAGCGGAAGTGACGCGGCCCCGAGCCCCCCACCCTCCCCCGCGACCCCCGGCAGCGGAGCCGCCGCAGGTACCGGCAACGGGCAGAGAACGGGGGAGGGAGCACGGGCGGCCCCGCTGGGCTGGGCACGGGTGGGGCCGGGGGGCCGGGCCCTACTCACACCCCCGAGGGCCGGGCCGGGGTAGCGGAGGGGGCCGTGGGTGCGGGGTCCCGGTGGGATCCCCCTGGCGGGGCCGCGGGGAGGATGCGGAGGGACCCCGGGCCGGGGGAGCGGCGGGGTCACCTCGGGGGCTGCGGGCGCGGAGGGGACGGCGGGGGGAGCCAGGGCCGGGTCGCGGGGCCGTGGGGGTGCCGGTGCCGGGGGGTCCCCATGTTCCGGGATGCGGGAATGTGGATGCCAGTGCCCCGGGATGCGGGGATGTGGATGCCAGTGCCGGGGAAGACTGCCCGGCCCGGGAGGGGGTTGCGAGGGGATGCCGAGTCCTTGGGAGGAGCCGGGGCCGCGGAGCGTCCGTGCCGGGGGTCCCGGTGCTACCGCCGCTCCCCACAGGCCCGATGGACGCGGAGACGCCCCGGGGGCTGTAGGACCCCCCCGCCCGCCCATCCCAGCACCGGCAGCCGCGGCCGGGCCGGGCCGGGCTCCCGCCGCGCCGGGGGTCCCGCCGCTCCCTGCGTCCTCGCACCATGTCGGGGGCCCTGAGCAAGCGCAGCGACCTGGCCAACGACAACCGGTGCCCGGGGCTGAGCCTGGGGCTGCCCGCGGCCCCCGACCCCCGCACCGGCCCCGGTGGCGCCCCGGCCGAGGAGCTGCCCGGCGCCGGCTGGGCCAAGGCCGGCCAGGACCAGAACCGCAACGAGCTCGAGCCGGGCCCGGGGCCGGGGCGCTCCCCCGGGGCGCACGGGGACTCCCCCGGGGCGCTGGAGCCGGGGGTCCGAGCCCGCAATGCCCGGAACGCTGCCCGCGACCCGCGGGCCCTGCTGATCGGCGCCTCGGAGGAGGAGGAGGAGGATGAAGAGGAGGAGGAGGACGAGGAGGAGGAGGACGGGCCCGGGGTGTCCCCGCCGGCTCTGGGCGCGGAGCGGGGCCTGCGGGAGCCGCCGGGGCGCAGCGCCAGCCGCCTCTTCGGGGGGCCCGGCCCCGGTAGCGACGAGGACTCGAGCTGGGCCACGCTGAGCCAGGGCAGCCCCGGCAGCTCCCCCGATGAGCCAGGTGGGCACTGCCGGAGCTCCCGTGACTTGTGGCTGCCCCGCGGAGCCCCACGGTGAGCCCTCGCTGTCCCACAGCTGCCCCATGGAGGCTTCTGACATTCTCTGGCTGCCCCGCAGAGCCCGATGGCTGCCCCGTGCTCCTTCCTGCTATGCCCTGTGCCCCTGTCAGCTCCACATCTCCCCTGGTCCCTGGCTGTGTGCCCAGTGCTGCACTCGCAGCCCCCCGGGTGCCATTGCTGGTCCCTGGGCCCCCAGCCCCTGGGCACTGTTCTGTGTCCCCAGCCCCATTAGCTCCATGCCCCCCCTTTGTCCCCGTGTCCCTGTGGAGCCCTCATGTCCCTGGCACGGGGGGCTGTGCGGGGCCGGGCTGAGCCCTCTGCCCCTGCCCTACAGAGTCGCTGTGGCCGTGTGGTGCAGGGGCACACGGGGACCTGCCCCCCGGCTGGCTGCGGGTGCAGGACACCTCAGGCACCTACTACTGGCATGTCCCCACTGGGACCACCCAGTGGGAGCCCCCCGGCGGGCCCCACGAGACCCCTTCCGACGGCAGCACCCCCACCGAGGGGCCCACTGTGAGTCGGGACTGAGAGGGCTGGGCTTGGTCTGGGAGGTGGCTGTGGGGCCATGGGGGTGGCTGTAGGGGCAGTCCCTGTGGGGCCATGGGGGTGGCTGTAGGGGCAGTCCCTGTGGGGCCATGGGGGTGGCTGTAGGGGCAGCCCCTGTGGGCCATGGGGGTGGCTGTGGGGCAGCCCCTATGGGGCCATAGGGGTGGCTGTGGGGCACGAGGTGGCTGGGGGATGATGGTGGGGTAGTTTTGGGGGGCTCAGGGCACCCGTGGTCTGGGCGTGGGTTGTTCTTGGGGTTACCATGGGGCTCCCATAGTGTGCTGTGGGGTGACTGGGGGAACCATGGGGCACTGGGGGGCTGCCCTACACAGCAGCCTGACCCAGCCCCCTGCAGCTTTCCTGGACAAGCTTTGCCCCAGCTGAGACCTTCAATAATGGAGACTTGTGGAAGGTGAGAGGGGCTGGTGGATGGGAAAGGGTGGGGGGTCAGTGCCCCCCCAACCCCACAGAGCCCCCTTGCCCCTAGGACCCCACGGCTGAGGAGGAAGAGGAGGAGGAGGAAGAGGAAGATGAGGAGCCAGGAGTGTCAGACCTGGAGATGCTGTCACCAGGCCCAGGATCGCCAGGAGAGGGGTGTGCTGAGGGGCACAGGGACTGGGGGGACACATGGGCAGGGCTGTGCCTGGGCCCTGTCGGGATGTGGGACTCTGGGTGACAGGTGAGAGAGGGTGTCCCCTGTGAAGTGGGAGCTGAGGGGGCAGGGACCCAGGTGTGGGGCAGGGACCCAGGTGTGGGGCAGGGAAATGGGGTCTCAGGATGGATTGGGGGACTCCCAGGATCTCAAGGCAGAGGTTTGGGGGGGAATGTCTGAGATAGTCAGGGTGCAGTGACTCAGGTATGGGATGTGGGGGATCCCAGAGGGCTCTCGGGCAGGGTTTGGGGCTGGAGAGGCCCCAGAGTGTCAGGGTGCAGTCGGTGACGCCCCCACCTTCCCCTTGCAGCATGGCCCTGGGCGAGGAGGATGTGCTGGACTCCAAGGTAGGGCCGCTCTCCTGACCCTGCCCGCCCGCAGGGCCCCTTCCCCACTTCCCTGGGGTCTGCTCCGCTGCTGGGGGCTGGGACCCAACGCCTCAGGGGTGTCCCAGGGTGTCACCTGCAGGGGAGGGGCCTCGGCCACGGCCTGTGCGGGCCCGCCCTGCCCCGGGGCTGCGCAGATGGGGCGGTGTGGGGCCGGGTTACTGCTGCGGAGCTGAGGCTGCCCCCTCGCCCCTCACCATCCCTGCCCCACAGCCTCAGCCCCACACATCCCCGCTGAGTGCCGTTCCCGCTGCCCCCAGGGCCTCCCGGTGCGCTCCCTGGGCTGGGTGCAGCTGCGGGAGGAGGAGCTGGGGCCCGGCCGCAGCAGCAGCGCCGTCAGCGCCTGCATCCGGCAGCTCTCGGGGCCCCGCGAGGGCCCCCCCGGCACCTGGGGGGAGGTGAGTGACCCCAGACCCTCCCTGTGCCCCCTGTACCCCCACACCCTCTGTGCTGTCCCCCTGGGGGGAGGTGAGTGACCCCAGACCCCCTGTGTCCATCCCACACCCTGTGCTGTTCCCTGGCACCTGGGGGGAGGTGAGTGACCCCAGACCCCCCAGACCCCCTGTGTCCATCCCACACCCTCTGCGCTGCTCCCCGGCACCTGGGGGGAGGTGAGTGACCCCAGACCCCCTGTGTCCATCCCACACCCTCTGCGCTGCTCCCCGGCACCTGGGGGGAGGTGAGTGACCCCTGTGCCCCCCACACCCATCCCACTCCCTCTCCACTGCCCCCCCGTCACCTGGGGGAGCTGAGCCCCCCCTGACGCTGCCATGCCCAGGCGCAGGCGCTGCTGGTGCTGGAGGAGCGCACGCTGAAGCTGGTGGACCCGCAGGACCGGGCGCTGCTGCACGCGCAGCCCGTGGGCGCCATCCGCGTCTGGGGCGTGGGGCGGCACGGCAGCAGGTGGGGCTGGGCACACGGGGGCACACCTGTGAGTGTGCTGCACTGGGGGGACACACCTGTGAGTGTGCTGCACTGGGGAGGGCACACAGGGGCACACTGTGTGTGTGTGTGCTGCACTGGGGAGGGCACACAGGGGCACACAGTGTGTGTGTGTGCTGCACTGGGGAGGGCACAGAGGGGCACACTGTGTGTGTGTGCTGCACTGGGGGGACACACCTGTGAGTGTGCTGCACTGGGGAGGGCACACAGGGGCACACTGTGTGTGTGTGTGCTGCACTGGGGAGGGCACACAGGGGCACACTGTGTGTGTGTGTGCTGCACTGGGGAGGGCACACGGGGCACACAGTGTGTGTGTGTGCTGCACTGGGGAGGGCACACGGGGCACACTGTGTGTGTGTGTGCTGCACTGGGGAGGGCACACGGGGCACACTGTGTGTGTGTGTGCTGCACTGGGGAGGGCACACAGGGGCACACTGTGTGTGTGTGCAGCACTGGGGAGGGCACACAGGGGCACACTGTGTGTGTGTGCAGCACTGGGGAGGGCACACTCTGTGTGTGCTGCACTGGGGAGGGCACATGGGGGGCTCTGGTGTCTGCAGGGTACCCAGGGCTGGGGATCCTGTACATGTGGGGTGCAGGGATGGGGGGTCTGGGTGTGTGGGACCCCCACGGGGCCTGGAGGTCCCACACAGTGTGGGGTGGGGGCTCTGGAATGCCGTGTATGGAGGCATCGGGCTGTGGAGGGGCCATGGGCTGGGTTCCCCACAGGGGTGAGGTGTGGGGCTGTGGGGTTCACGTGTGCACAGGGCTCGGAGGTCCCATGTGTGGATGTGGTCCCATGGGTTGGGCAGGAGGGGGCCATGGGGTCCCAGCACTGAGCCCCCTCAGCAGAGAAGGGTGTGGGGCAGGATCAGATCTGCTCCTTGGAGCGTGGGGTGGGTCCTGGGGCTGAGGGGGCCCCGTGCCCCCCCGGCACCCCCTAACCCTGCTCTGTCCCGCTGTGCTGCCGGGGACTCAGGGAGAGGTATGGCTCCAACCTGCCCCCAGACCCCCAGTGCCCCCAGTCCCGGCTCGGGCTGGCTGGGGAGGGCACCGGGGTGGTCCTGAGTGTGCCCCCCTCCCCCAGGGACTTTGCATACGTGGCCCGGGACCCCCTGACGCAGGTGCTGAAGTGCCACGTGTTCCGCTGCGAGGGGCCTGCCAGCGCCATCGCCGCCGGGCTGCACCGGGTCTGCGCTCAGGTGAGACCCCAGAGCCCCCCACACTGCCCCTCACACTGCCCCATGGCCTGCACCTGGTCTGCGCTCAGGTGAGACCCCCCTAAACCTCACCTGAGACCCCCACTCTGGCTGGCACTGGTTCTGTGTCCAGGTAAACCCTCCCCAGCCCTCTTCTGGGCTTCCCCCCAAACTGCCACCTTGGCCTGAGCTGCGTCTCTGCCTAGATGAGACCCCCACAAAGCCCCTGAGAACCCCCCACCTGGCCTGCACCAGGTCTGGGCCCAGGTGAGACACCCCCGGGAGCCCCCAGGCCCAGGTAACCCACCCCAAATTCCCCTTCCTTGGTCTGCACCACATTGTGCCCAGGTGAGACCCCCAGAACCCTGCCAGGACTTGCCCTAGTCTGTACATCTGCACACAGGTGAGACCTCAGGCCCCCTCCACCCGGCCCCTAGGGGTGACCCCTGCCCACCCCCGTGTCCCCACAGACCTGCCACAGGGCACCAGGGCCAGGGGTCTCTGGGGTGCCCAGGGTGTGACAGCCAGGAGGGCTGGGGGTGCCCTTGTGTGACATCTGGGGGACTGTGGGTCACCGTGGGGGTCCCTGGAGGTGACAGTGGTGTCACATCTGTCCCCAGCTGACGGCGGAGCGGCGAAGTGCCCGGGCAGCAGGCAACGGCCTGGGGACAGAGCCCCCCCGGCTGGGGGAGCCTCCCCTGCAGGGTACGGGGCTGGGGGGTACCCGGGAGAGAGCTGGGGGGCTCTGGGGGTACCCTGGGAGTCTGGGGGTAACCAGGAAGGGGGAGTCCTGCACGGGGACAGGGAGGGGCCTTGTGGGTCTGGAGGTTGCATTCACGGGTGGAGGGCAGTGGGAGGGGGGGGTGGCTTTTAGGGAGGTTTGGGGGGTGTCTGACAATGTCCCCCACCACAGCAGGGCTCCCAGCCCCCAGGAGCAAGGCAGTGCAGTTGGGGGTGTTGGGAGTTCTGGGGGTGCTCTGGGGGGTCTTGGAGGGCCCTGGGTCGGTCTGCCATGTCTCCCCCACACTGGAGTGCCAAGCATCCAAGAGGTCTTGGGGGGTGTTGGGTGAGCCCTGAGGGCTGGGCAGGGGTTCTGGACAGATGTTGGGGCTCTGGGGTGTTTTGGGGGGCTCTGGGGGTGTCTGACAGTGCCTCCCCCACAGTGGAGTTCCCAGCCCCCAAGAGTGAGGTGGTTCAGCGCTTCCCCGTGTGTTACCTGGGCTGTGTCCCCGTGGCCAAGCCAGTGGGTGAGTGGGGGACTTGAGGGGAAGGGGGGAGTCTCGGGGGGCTCCTCTGGCCCATGCTCGGCAGCTGTGGGGCGAGGGCACCCCCAGGGCTGCCCTGAGGCTCCCTGTGCCCCCAGGCATGGATGTGATCAACGCGGCGCTGGAGGCGGCGCTGGCCCCTGGCTCAGGGGAGCCCCCTGCGCCCACCCCCGTGGTGGTCAGTGTGGCCCCTGCCACCCTCACCATTGCTCACCGCCAGGTGGGTGCCCCCCTCGGACCCCCTGCCCTGGCACCCTCACATCACCAGGGGCATCCATCCCCATCTCGGACCACCACCCTGGCCTAGGGGAGATGTGTTGACCCCCGCCCTCACTGGTGACCCTGTTATGGGGTCTGAGTGACTCTGTCATGTGTCAGAGGGGCTGCAGAGACCCGTCCTTGTGCCAGGGATGGGTTGGGTACCACCATGGCTCCTTCCACCGTGTCCCCATCCCACTCCATCCCGCGGGGTCTCGGGGGATCCCCTCCCAGCCCCAGGGTACCGCAGTGACCTCCCCACCCTTCCTGGGGTGACACCCCGTGTGCCCTGCTGACCCTGTCCCCTTGCTGAGGGTGTCCCCATGGCCCCCTCCCCACCATGGTGTCCCCGGTGTCCCCAGACAGAGGCGGTGCTGTGCGAGTGCCGCGTGCGCTTCCTGTCCTTCATGGGGGTGGGACGCGACGTCCGCGCCTTCGCCTTCATCATGGCCAGCGCCCCCGGCACCTTCCGCTGCCACATGGTGTGGTGTGAGCCCAACGCCGCGGGGCTCAGCGAGGCGCTGCAGGCTGCCTGCGTGGTGAGTGCCGCCCCTGTCCCCCCCTGGGCTGCCCCCGGCCCCGCTGACGCCGCTCCCTCGCTCCCTGCCCGCAGCTCCGCTACCAGAAGTGCCTGGATGCGCGGCCCCAGGCCTCCAGCTCCTGCCTGCCCGCGCCCCCGGCTGACTCGGTGGCGCGGCGGGTGGGCTCCTCCGTGCGCCGGGGGGTGCAGACCCTCCTGGGGACCCTCAAACAGCGGCGGGGAGGGGCGCAGACCCCCTGAGCGGGGCGAGGGCAGGGGGGGCATTGGCTGGGCGAGGCAGCGTCAGGGGGCAGGACCACGGACCCAACGCTCCAGGGCACGGAGTGACCCCGGGTGTTGGGGGTCCTGCCCCCACTGCTGCCCCCACGGTGGGTCACGCCCCCCCCAGGGTCCCCAATGCATGTGGCATAATGAGGGTCTGTGTTGTACTAAATCATTAATTAATAAACCCATTCCACCAGCCCGGCTTGGCTCTGCACCTGGCCTCACACAGGGAGGAGCAGGGTGTTGTGTCTGGTTTGGGTCTTCTTAGGATGTCACAGGTGCAGAGGGGCACTGAGGTCCATCCACACCTTATTAGGGGAGCTATGGGTGTACAGGGATCATGGGCTGATCCCAGTTGTAATCCCAGCAGGTGAGAATTAGGACAAGGACGTGGGGTGGTGGGGCCCCAGCATCCCTGATTTGGGTCTCCCTAAGTGGTGGCTGAGAACTGCAGTGAGGAGGATGAAGGACAGTGGGGTCCATCACACCTGTACTGGGGGGTGATGGGAGCATGAGGACTACGTGCTGATCCTGATCTCAGTTCCAATCCTGGTGGAGAGGATTAGGAGGGGTGGTGGTGTCCATTGTGCCTTTATTGTGTAACTGGTGGGACATGGGGACCACGTGCCAATCCCGACCTCGCTCCCAGTGACCTCGTACCGATCCTGCTCCTGCTGTGACCTGTGCTGGCTACAGTCCTGCTCCCTGTGTAACCGTGTCCCTGCCCCTGCTCTTGGTGTGACCACATACCAGGAGCTCCCGGTGTCACCACATCCCAGGGGCTCCTGGTGTCCCCGTGTCCCAGGGGTTCCCAGTGTCACCACATCCCAGGGGCTCCCAGTGTCCCTGTGTTGCAGGGGTTCCCAGTGTCACCACATCCCAGGGGCTCCTGGTGTCCCCGTCTCCCAGGAGCTCCTAGGGTCACCACATCCCGGGGGCTCCCAGTGTCCCCGTGTCCCAGGGGTTCCCAGTGTCACCACATCCCGGGGGCTCCCAGTGTCCCAGGGGTTCCCAGTGTCCCCGTGTCCCAGGGGTTCCCAGTGTCACCACATCCTGGGGGCTCCCGGTGTCCCCATGTCCCAGCCCTGCTGCTGCCGGCCGTGGCTCAGCAGAGCCGCCGCTGCTGCCAGAGCTGCTGGATGCGCGGGAAGGGCAGCGCGGGGCGCAGGGGCCGGCAGAGCGCGGGGTCGGCAGCGCGGCCGGAGCGCAGGGCGCAGAGCAGGGCGGCCTTGCAGGGCGCGCCGCAGGGCTCGCGGGGCGGGTGCCCCTTGTGCAGGTGGAACCAGAAGAGCTGGAAGAGGGGCTCGTCGTCCTGCATGCGCCGCACCAGCCGGTCCCAGTCGGCCGGGAAGGCGGCGGGCAGCCCGTAGGCCTCGCGGGCGCCGTAGAGCCGCCGCCAGCGCGGGGCCGTGCCCGGGGGTGCCGCGTTGGCCTCCGTCAGGTTAAGGATGAAGGTCTCGTGATCCAGGACTGCGTGGGAGCTCCCGGGGTAGGAGGCGGCCACCTCATACACGCGGTACCCTGCAGCGGGAGGGACGGTCAGCGCCGGGGAGCATGGGAGTGGGGGACACACGGCGGGGGGACACACAGTGGGGGGACACACAGCAGGGGACACACGGCGGGGGATGCGCGGCAGGGGCTCGGGGCGCACCGGGATTGAGGCTGATGTAGGTGGTGACACTCGGTGCGATGAAGGCGATGGACACAGGACGTGACAGTGTCTCCTCATCGTAGAACAACTCGAACTCATCCAGGTGTGTGTGCCCGAAGAACTGCGCCGCAATGGTGCCCTCGAACCTGCCAGGGTGGGTGAGCGGGGGCGCATCCCCAGACCCCCACCCCAAAACCCCAACCCTGGCCCTCAGGTCTGCCATGTGGGGTGGGGGTCCAGGACACGTGGGCTGGGGGTCCAGGATACAGGGGGTGGGGGTCTGGCACATGGGGTGGCACGCGGAGAGAGAGCCCAGGGTGTGGGGTGGAGTCTGGTGCAGAGGTCCAGCATGTGGGGCAGGGGTCTGTTGTGTAGGGCAGGAGGACCATTGTGGGATGGGAGTTCAGGGTATGGAGCCAGGCTCTGGCTTGTGGGGTGGGGGGTCTGGTGTGGGGGTCAAGGCCACATGGACAGGGGTCCAGCACATGGGGATGGAGGCCAGGGCATGGAATGGGGGTCTGGGGTGGGGCCCATGGTGCGGGGTCTGGGCAGGGGTCAGGCACTGACCTGCTGACAATGCGGTAGTAGTTCCAGCTCCAGCTGCGCAGACAGTGGGCTGGGGGGATGTGCCCGATGATGTGCACCTGTGGGCAGGGAGCCAGGGCTGGGGGTTTGCCCAGGGCCCACAGGGACCCCCTATGTCCCCCCCAGAACCCCCCCACACCTTCTCCCCATCACGCTCAGCATCTGCCAGGACCCCCATGAGCCACTGGAGCTGCCCTGCAGGGTCAGTGGCATTGATGAGAAGCCAGAAGTTGGCCTGGGAGCAGAAGTTCATGTTGAGGGAGACGAGGCGCAGCCCAGGCCAGACCTGTGCTGTGTAGAACCCACCAGCCCTGTGTGGAAAAGGGGGGTCAGTGCTGCGTCCCCTGAGCCACAGACCCTGCACCCATCCCACGGACCCCCAGCTCTCTGCCACCTGCACTGCCCACCTACCTACAGCCCCCAGCCTGGAGCCCCCGTTACCCCACAGCCCTCTCTGTACCCCAGCCAGCCACGACTCCCTCCCTGCACCTCTCCCCCCGTGAAGCTGAAACATCTGCACACAGCCCCAGCTGGCCTGGTACCCCCACTGCCCCTGCAGCATAGAGACCACACTGTGTGTCCTGCTAGTTCTGAGCCCTCAGCATTCCAGAGTCCCGTGCTCTGAGCCCCCAGCCTGCGCTACTGCAGCTCCCACAACACCTGACAGCCCAGAGCCCCCCAGTCTGGAGCCTCCCAGCGCTGCGTCCCCTGATCCTGGTACCCCAAATGCCACAGCCCAGAACGCCCACCCTGTGCCCTCCCACCCCCCAAGGCACAAACCCCCCATCCCCTGGGCAGAGGGATCCCCTTCCCCAGCCCGGTGCCCACCGCAGGGTGCGCAGGGCAGCGGGGGGCAGCCAGTGCTGCCAGGCCTCGGCCATGGCGTCGTAGAGCCAGGCAGCCGAGCGGTTGCCGCGCACGTAGGGCGGCGGGAAGGCGTTCACCGGCGTGGCCTCATGGTTGCCCACGGCGGGGAAGACGCGCAGCGGGCCGAGGCGGGCGCGCAGCAGCGCCGTCACCGTGCGCAGCGCCCGCAGCTGGTCCCCGCGGCTCTGCTGCCACACGTCGTGCGCCGGGATGTCCCCGGTCCAGTACGCCGCCGCGAAGCCGCCGGTGCCGTTCCTGGTGCCATTGGGCAGCTGGGCCAGCAACGCGTCGATGGTGTGCAGGGGAAGGTCGCACTTGCCGTAGGTGCCCCAGAAGCCCGCGGTCCCCGGGCCCTCGCCGGGCACCCCGCGGCAGCACAGCGGGTCGGGGCAGGCAGCGGCACTGCCCGGCACGTACTGCCGGTCCCAGTGCAGGTCTGTGAGGAACAGGATGCGGGCCGTGGGCGCTCCGGGCGGCGGCGGCACGGGCGGGCCGCACCGGCGGTTTGGGCGCGGCGGGCAGGGACAGGTTCCAGGCGCCCAGGATGTCCCAGTGGCCGCAGCGGGGGCCCAGCAGGAGCCCGCAGGCCTCGGGCGGGCGCAGCACGGAGCGGGCCCAGGCGGCCACCACGTCACCCTGGAAGAGCTGCACGGCCTGGCGGCACACGGGCGGCCGCGCCAGCCGCAGCTCCTGGCACAGCCGCGACGCCACGCGCCCCACGCGGGCCACGTTGGGCTCCAGCTGCGGGGGAAGGACACCGGGATGGTTACGGCACCCCACACCTCCTGCCACCCTCACTGCCCTCCCTCCCCTCCATCATCGGCTGCCCAGCACAGACCCTGCACACTGAACTCAGCTGCTGTCACTGGCCTGTGCCCATTGGCACCCCGGGAGGGGCACGGCACCCCCGGGATGGGCACAGCACCCCCGGGAGAGACACAGTACCCCCAGGATGGACACGGCACTGCCAGGATGGGCACGGCACTCCCCGGGAGGGGCACGGCACCCCAGCTGCCATCATCGTGCCGCACTCAGCAGCTTCCCGGGATGGTCCCTGGCTGCTGTCACTGTCCCACACCCGCCGGCCCACCCAGCTGGATATCCCGAGGCCAGAAGGGACCCACAGGGTCCCCCAGCCCCTCTGGTTCTCAGCTTGGTGCCCTCCTCCCTCCGTCCCCGCCCCAGCCTGTCCCTGTCCCGGTTCCTGTCTCTGTCCCGGTTCCTGTTCCTGTCCCGGTTCAGGTTCCTGTCCCGGTTCCTGTTCCTGTCCCGGTTCAGGTTCCTGTCCCAGTTCCTGTCCCAGCCTGTCCCCCTTCCCCCGAGTGGAGCCGCTGGCAGGACCCCGCTCGTCCCCGCTGCTCTTCCAGCCGTCCCAGCTTGTCACCCTCCCCGTCCCCGCCCGTCCCTGTCCCCATTCCCAGCCCGGTCTCGTGTCTGTCACAAGCCCCGACCTGTCCTGGCCTGTCCCGGCCCCGGCCCGTCACGAGGGACTGGCCCGGCCCGTCCCTGTCCTGTCCCGCCCTGTCCCCACTGTCCTGTCCTCTCTGTCCCCGTTCCTATCCCATTTCTGTCGCCCCTGCTCTTCCCGTCCTGGTGTTCCGCTGTCCACCTATCCCCGTGTCCCCCTGGTGCCCCCCGTGTCCCGGCACTCCCGACCCCCGTGCCCACCTGCAGCGCCAGGTCCAGCGCCCCGAAGAGCACCCGGCAGGCCGGGCACGACACGTTCCGCCAGCCCCAGCGCGGCGCCGCCGCCGCCAGCTGCTCCCCGGGGCCGGGCGGCGACCCCGCCGACACCGGCAGCGCCAGCAGCGCCGCCAGGGCCAGTGCCAGGGCCAGGGCCAACGGTGGCAGCGGTGGCAGCGATGGCCCCGGTGGGCGCGGTGTCAGCTTTGGCCGCGGGGAGCGCGGGGGCAGCGGGGCCCGAGCCCCGGCCGCCATGGCCGAGGAGAGGGGCGGGGCCGGCTCGGGGGCGGGGCCGAGCAACGCCATTTATGGGTGAGGGGGCGGGGCAAGGGCGCAAAGGGAGGGGCCAAGGTCGGGGCAGGGCCCGCCCCCGGCGCCATGGCCGAGCGAGGCGGGGGCGTGGCCGACAGGGAGGCGCGACCAGTGTCCGCGGGGATGGGGCGTGGCCACCTGGGGCGGGGACCGTATGCAAATGAGGGAGCCGGGCCTACGTAAGGCGCGCGGGGCACGGTGGGAGATGGAGTCCTGGGGTTGGCGACGCTCCCCTGGGGTCCCCTCCGCTGTGTGCGGTCGGCCCCCCCCCCGCTCCGGGGCTGCACTGGGTGCACCGGGCCCGGGCGTCCCATCCCCAGCTGCCGCCGGGCTCAGCAGTTCCCGCAGCGGAGGGAAGCCCCCGAGCCTCGCGCGGTGCCGACCCCCCGTCCCGCCCGGTTCTGCCCCGCGGAGGCTCCGTGCCGGCGGGCAGGAGCGCTGGGAGCAGCGGCGCAGGTGGGCACGGGGTCAGTTTATTGTGGCCGTAGCCGGGGAGCAGCGCGGGGAGACCCCGGGCTGAGCTGGGCTGGGTGCCTCGCCCTCCCTGAGCCTCCCCCTGCCCGGCCCCGGGGCTCCTCCCGCCCGCCCCTCGCCCCCACCCCGCCGGGGCTCGGGGCCGCTGGGATGGAGCGGGGGGTGCCGGGCAAGCGTGTCCCGGGAGCGCGGGCGGGCGGCTGGGGGTGCAGCGGAGTGGGGCACGGGGGTGCCGGCAGGGCAGGGGTTCATGCTCGGGGTGTCCTGGTGGGGGTGTCCAGCTCGGGGGGGGCGGGGGGGGGCAGGCACTGGTGTTAGGGTCCCTAAGGGGGGCTAGCTCGGGGGTCCCAGGCTGCTGAGGATGCTGTAGCTGAGCTTGGGGAGAGAGGGGTTGGCCATGGGGGCTCGTGGGGGTCCCGCTCTCGGGGGGCCCAGGCACCGGTGTTGGGGGGCTCGGGGGGTTCCAGCTCGGGGGGCGGCTCAGGGGGGTCCCAGGCTGCTGACGGTGGTGTAGCTGAACTTGGAGAGCGAGGCGCTGGCCATGGGCGGCTCGTCCTCGGGCGGGCGGCGGGGGCAGGCGCGGCGGCAGCCCCAGCCCGCGCAGGTGGCCCCGAAGGCCTTTCGGAAGCGGCGGTTCATGAAGCAGTAGATGAGGGGGTTGGCGCAGGCCGAGGTGTAGGACAGCAGGTGGATGAAGGCGATGGGCGTGCCCGAGAGCGCCCGCTGCGCTGCCCGCGGGGAGAAGGCGCGCCAGGTGTTGGCGGCGAAGATGGGCAGCCAGCAGAGGAAGAACATGGCCACGATGACCACCAGCATGCGGATCACCCGCCGCTTGGCCGCCAGCTGCGCCCCTGAGCTGTTGATGCGGGCCCGGTCCTGCTGCGCGGCCGCCCCCAGCGCCCGCAGCTCCAGCGCCGCGCCCGGCCGGGACAGCTGCAGGTAGCAGCCGTCACCCTCGTCGCAGCTGGGCGCTGGGTCCCCCCCGGTGCCACGCTGGGCTGTGGAGTGAGGAGGCATGGTCACGGTCATGGCACTGCAGGGACACGCTGCACCCCAACACCGCGGGAACGTCCTCCAGGAGGATGGGATGGGTTGCAGGGGACACAGAAATGACCGTGGCACCACAGGGATGTGCTGCACCCCGAGGCTACCAGGAGGTCCTTGGGAAAAGGGGTGTCCCTGAGGAGCACACCGCTGTGGGAGCAGGGGTGAGGGCTCAGCCCTGCCTCTGCTGCTGGGGTGGGCACTCTGCCCACACACGAGCCATGCCAAGTGTCACCCGCAGTGTCACTCCCGCCCCATCCCTCACCTGCCACGTCCCTCTTGACGTCCAGTTCGAAGCGGATGCCCCGGTAGAGCTCGCGGGAGATGAGCCCGTACGCCACCGTCATCACCACACCCGGGATGAAGAAGAGCACGAGGAGCAGCAGCACGTACCTGGGACAGGTGGCCTGGTCACCCAGCGTCCCCTCGGGCCCCGTCCCCCCTGGGTGCCCGGACTCACCAGAGCTGCCGGACGCGCTCGCTGGGCCAGTGGTGCGTGCACTGCACGGGCGGTGGGCGCGGCGCGGCGGGCCGGGTGCTGCTGTACACGGCGTAGGGCAGCATCAGCAGCGCCGCCAGCGCCCAGGTGCCCGCGATGACGCGGCACGCGTGGGACCGTGTCTGCCAGGCGCGGGACTGCAGCGGGTTGCAGATGGCACTGTAGCGCTCGATGGCGATGGCCACGAGGCTGAAGGTGGACACGGCCACCGAGACCCCTGCGGGCAGCGGGGAGTGTTGGCGGGCACGGTGTGACCCTGCAGGCCCTCAGCTCCTCCCGAAGCCCCCCTGTGCTGCGCTCCGTGCGCCCAGGGGTGGGGATAACCCCCAGGTATCCACGGGGTATGGACGAGCCCCCTCCCTGCGCCCCCCGTACCGACAAGGCAGGGATGAGGCCCCCCTGCCGTGCCCCACCCCACCCAGGAGAGGGGACAAGGCCCTGTGTGCCCCACCCAGGACAGGGGACAAACCCCCGTGTGTCCCACCCCACCCAGGAGAGGGGACAAGCCCCCACTGTGCCCCACCCAGGAGAAGGGACAAGCCCTGTGTACCCCACCCAGGAGAGGGGACGAGCCCTGTGTGCCCCACCCAGGAGAGGGGACGAGCCCCGTGTGCCCCACCCCACTCAGGAGAGGGGACAAGCCCTGTATGCCCCACCCCACCCAGGAGACGGGACAAACCCCCGTGTGTCCCACCCAGGAGAGGGGACAAGCCCCCACTGTGCCCCACCCCACCCATGAGAGGGGACGAGCCCCCCCTGTGCCCCACCCATGAGAGGGGACAAGCCCCTGCCGCGTGTCCCACCCTACCCATGAGGTAGGCCACGAGCTTGCAGACGACGTCGCCGAAGATGAAGGCGCCCATGAGGCCGGGCAGCAGAGTGAAGGGCATGCAGCACAGCGCCAGCAGCAGGTCGCTCAGGGCCAGGGACAGCAGGAAGCAGTTGGTGACGGTGCGCAGCCGCCGGTTCAGCGCCAGCACGGCCACCACCAGCGCGTTGCCCCCGACGCTCAGCACGAAGATCAGCACGTAGAGCACCACGCGCACCGCCACGTCCAGCTCTGCGGGCACGGCGCTGCGCTGGCACCCCGGGGCACCCCGAGGGCAGCCCGGTGGCACCCTAGAGGGCACTGTGAAAGCACTCCCGAGGCCACCACACAGACACCCCCATGGCACCCCGAGGGCAGCCCGGTGGCCCCCCAGACACGCTGTGAGGGCACCCCAAAGGCGCCCCCGCACAGGCCCGGGCACCGGGACACCGGGGCTCCGGCGTGGGCTCGGTGGACACCCACCAGATGAGTGCATCGTTTCCCCCCGTGCGGCAGCCGCCGGCATTCGGGGTGAACCCCCCGCCCCTCCGATCAGTTCCCTGAGGCTGAGGGACCCTCATCCAGGTGGGTGCCCCCATCCTGCCCACCCTCCGCCTCGGTGCTGAGCGCGGGGACCGGGCACGTCCTGCCCGGAGAGCGGAGTGACACCGGAGCAGGGGCCCCAGCCGGGGCTGGGCTGGGGTCGTCCCAGTCGAGGGTCCAGCTGGAGGTCCCGGCCCCGGCAGTGGGACAGGGGTGCGGGGAGGGCGCTGGCTGTGTCCGTGGCGTCCCTGTCGGAGTCCTCTCCGCCCTCCCGCTGCCACCGGCACAGCCCGGCGTGTTCCCTCCGGCAGCGCCGAGATCCGCATCGGAACCGCTGGGCAGCGCCGGGGCCACCGAGCCCGCGGGGATCGGGACGATGGTGCCGGCTGAGGAGGGGCACGGCGGGGACGGGGCGGCACCGCTCGGGGGCCGGGGGAACGGGAGCGGCGGGCACCGGGGCGGCACGGCGGGACGGAGCGGGATTGTACCGGCGTGCCGGGGAGCGCAGGGCCGGGTACGAACGGGGGAGGGGGTCCCTTCCCGGGTCCATCCCGCTCCTTCCCGCTGCACCCGCTCTCACCTCTGGGCGCCGGGGGCCCGCGGAGGCCCCTGCGGAGGAGGTCGCAGACCGAGCCGTTGGTCCCGTTGCCGGTGCCGGTGCCGGGTCCGTTGCCGGTGCCGTTCCCGGAGCGGCAGAGCATCTCCTGCAGCGACTCGTTGAGGGGCCGGGGGTCCATGGCGGGGACCCCCCCGCCTCCCCCCGCCCCTCCTCCGGCAGGAGGCACCGGGAAGGAGCAGGCACCGGGAGGCTCCGGGAGGGACGAGGCTCCGATCCGCTCGGAGCCGCCGGTGGATAAGCGGGGGCGGCGCCCGGCGCGGGGCGGGCCGGGGGCGGGGGGCGGTGGCGGCGGCGGGGGGAGCCCGGGGGGCGCGGGGGAGGCGGGAACAGGGGGAGCCCGGGACGGGGTGGGGGGGGACGGGCGGGGCCATGGAGAGCACCGGGAGCGGGGCTCGGGGGGTACCGGGCTGCAGCCGAGTCCCGGGCGGGTCGGGCAGCTTGGGGGGCTCGCAGGGAGCGCTCCTGAGGCACCGGGCGACGGCCGCCACCGCGGGGTCTGTCACCGCGTCCCTGCGGCTGCCCCGGGACGGCCCGGCCCGGCCGGAGGTCCCAAGCTGCTCACGGCCCCGAAACTCCGTGACCCTGACCCGTCCCCATCCCGGCTCCTTCCTCTCCCGGTGCCGCAGCAGCAGCTGTCGGTGTCACCCACAACAGTGGCCGCTGCTGTGTCCCCCTCCAGTCACCCCTCAGTCCCGCGGCACCCCCGCCCCTCGTGGGACCCCCTGAGCCCCGGGGACATCGTGTGCCCCTGTGGATCTCTGTGCCCCGGAGGGACCCCGTGCCCTGGGCAGAGCCTGCGCCCTGCCGGCACCGTAGATGCCACTGGGGCCTCGTGTCCCAATCCGCCTCCGTGCCCGGGGCGGCCCCTGTGCCCTGAGGGGACCCTCTGCCATGGGGATGCTATGTGCCCTGAGGGGAGCCTGTGCCACGGGGCCATACATGCCACGGGGACCTCGTGCCCCAATGCGACCCCGTGCTCTGAGGGGCCTCTGCACCGTGGGGCTACCGTGTGCTTTGGGAGGACCTGGCATGTCACTGGGACCCTGTGCTCCATGGGGACTGTGTGCCCTGTGGGGACCCTGTGCCTTGGAGGGGCCCTGCACCCCGGTGGGACCCCGTCCTTCTGCAGAGCCTGGGGCATCCTGCACCTCGGAGGGACCCTGTGTCCTGGAGGGACCGTGTGCCCTGAGGACAGCCTGTGCCTCGGTTAAACCCTGCACTCTGGGGGGGCTCTGTCCGCCGGTAGGACCCTGTGGGCCAGCAGGCTGCTGTGCTGAGGCCGTTCCTGCTGCTCTGTCTGCCCGCGCGGCTCCGTCCCGCCCCGCCCTGTCCCGCCCCGCTCCATCCCGCACCGCCCTGTCCCGCACGGCTCCGTCCCGCAGCTGCAGCCGTCCCTCGAGGCGCCGGACGCGCAGGGCCATGCGCAGGGCACTGGCCTCCAGCTGTGCCAGCAGCCGCGCTGCCCGCGTCTGGAGCCCCTCCAGGGCCGCCTCCAGCCCCCGCAGCCGCCGCTCCGCCTCGGCCTCGGCCGCCAGCGCCGCCGCCTCAGCCCCGGTGTCCAGCTGGCCCATGCGGAGCAGCAGCTCCCGGCCCTTGGCCTCCATGGCAGCGCGGGCGCTGGGGAACTCGGCCAGCACCTCCGCCAAGTCCTCCTTGCCCAGGCAGAACAGGTCCGAGTAGCCGATGCTCAGGATGTTGGCCGTGCGCCGGTTCCCGGCCATGTTGCCTGCGGGGCGGGGGCCATGAGCCCGAGGGGAGCGCGGGGCAGCAGCATCGGGGCGCGGTGCGCAGCTCACCCTTGATGTTGATGAGGCTGATCTCGCCGAAGTAGAGCCCCTCGCCCAGCACGGCCAGCTGCGTGACGCCGTCCGCGGCCAGCACGGCCAGGCGGCCCTCGCGGATGAAGTACATCTCTCGGCCCACGTCCCCGCGCCGGCACACGAACTCGCCGGGCCCGAACACCTGCGGTCGCAGGCGCAGCACCAGCTGCCGCAGCACGCCGCGCTCCCAGCCGCGGAACAGCCCCACACGCTGCAGGGCCGCCAGGTGCACGCTGGCCGCCACCTCGGCGCGCAGCCCCCGCGGCAGGTGCTGCAGGACCCGCCACTCGGCCGGCAGCTTGCGCTGCGCCCGCAGGTGCTGGTGCCAGCGCGCCACCCGCGCCGCCAGCCGCCCGCCCGCGCCCCGCGCCCGCAGGTACCGCCGCACCGGGCCCGCCTCGGGGTACAAGGCGCTGGCGGCCGAGCTGAGGTTGACGATGACGGTGCTGATGCTGCCGGTGATGGTGGCGAAGCCCAGCACGGCCAGGAGGAAGCCGGCGGTGAGGAAGAGGAGCTCTTCCTCGCGCTGTGCGGCCGGCGTGTCCCCCACCATGGCCAGCACCAGCGTGGAGATGTAGAAGCTGTGCAGGTAGCGGCGCAGCAGCCGGGGGAAGCTGGGGCACACCCAGGGGTCGGTGCCCAGCCCCAGGCGTGCCGACAGCGTGAAGTAGAGGCAGGCGTGCCAGTGGATGCCCAGCAGCAGGTACAGCATCAGCTTGGCCATGCGGAAGGCGTTGGGCCATCCTGTGCGCGTCTCGCACCGGTCGAAGGCCTCAAAGAGCCGTGGCACCCGCAGGCAGCGGTTGGCACGTGCCGCTGGCACCCCCGGGACCCTCGGGACCCCCGGGAGCAGACACAGCAGCTCGGTGGGCAGCACGGCCACCACGTCCCAGGGGAAGCTCCAGGAGCCCAGATAGCGCCGCCGCGTCCGCCTGGCGTCCCGCACCAGGATCCCGTCCTCCAGGAAACCTGGGTGGGCAGCCAGGGCAGCCGTGGCACCTCCGGCACCCAGCCCTGCAGGGACAGGGGCTGCTCCCCGTGATGGCAGTGGGGACCACGCAGGCGCCCAGCCTGGGGCACAGGGAGGCACAGGAACCCTGGGGGAGGTCACTGGCAGCTCCCTGGGCTGCCATGGGGCTGAGGGGCAGAGGGGTGGCTGTGAGACTCAAGACCACCCACCCAGACATCCTCTGTGTGGGGCTGGGTGGTGGCTGTACCAGGTGGGAGTGCACATGTACACACCTGCACGTGTGTGTGTGTGTGTGTACACCTGTGTGTCTGTGTGCACGTACCTGTGTCTCTGTGTCCGTGCACACACCTGTACCTGTGTGTGTGTCCGTGTGTACCTGTGTGTCCGTGTGTCTGCATGTCCGTACCTGTGTGGAGGTGCACGATGATGTCCAGCAGGTACAGTGCGTCGCTGAGCCCGTCCAGGGCCTGCCACAGCCCTGCGTGTGCCTCCTGCACCTCGGGGAAGCAGCACCTGGGGTACGAGTGGGGCATCACTGGGACGGGGCCAGGACACCCCAACCCCAACCCCAACCCCACTGCCTGGCACCTGAGGATGAGGACGACCCAGTTGTAAAGGATGGGCAGCACCATGAGGCTGATCCATTGGTAGTGCCAGTCCCCGGCGGGGTCCAGGGTCCAGGTCCAGGAGGTGGCAGTGTGGCTGGGGGCACAGAGGGGGGATTGGGGGTCGCTCTGTCCCCATTTGGGGTCCAAGTCCAGTTCAGGGGGGTGGCAGTGTGGCTGGGGGCACAGGGGGACCGGCGGTCACTCTGTCCCCATTTGGGGTCTAGTTCTGGGGGGTGGCTGGGGGCACAGGGGACGGGGGTCACTCCGTGCCCATTTGGGGTCCCTCTGCCCGTGCTCAGCCCGGCTGCCAGTGACTCTAAGGCTCAGCCAGCCCCCCCAGCACCGGTGGGACTCAGGGGGTCCCTGTGGCGCCCCTACCCCAAGCCCGCAGGAGGCGGCCGTGCCCCGCTCACCCCGAGGCGCGTCCGGTGCCGGTGCCAGCCCGGGCTGCGGCCATGGCTCCGGCGGTGCTGCCGGGCTGGAGCCCGGCCCAGCGGCAGGACAGGACGGAGGCGAGGGTCCCGGTGGGGTCCTTCACAGCGGGGATCCCGTGCGTCCCGGTGGCCGGGGGTCCTGCACACCTGCCGGGTGCTGCCGCCTGCCCCGGTGCCGGGCGCGGCTCCTCCAGGGGACGCAGCCCCGCGGCTCCTGCGACACCGGGCGTGTCCTAGCAACGAGGGGTCCCCAGGGCACCCGCTGGCCCCGGGGACTCGTGGGCGGAGCAGCCACCGTGCCAGCTCCGCCGGGCACGCTGGGGCACGGAGCCGTGGCCAGGTGTGCGGGGCCCAGGTTAGCTCCGGGAACAACAGCCGGTGCCAGGCAGCGCCCGGTGCAGAGGCGGCGGCGGCTCCCGGCACCTGGCACAGGGCTGCCTGGCACAGGTGTGCCCGGTAAAAGGTTATCTGGCACAGGGGTGCCCAGGGCCAGGGAGGGCCCGTTTCTGGGGTGCCCGCGAGAGGGGTTCTGGGGGTCCCGGTACCAGGGTGCCCAATTCCGAGCAGTGCTCAGTTCCGGGAGCAGCGTGCAGGGGTTATCCGGTGCAGGGTTACCCGGTACCGGGGTGCCCAGTTACGGGGGTTCCAGTACAGGGGCGGCTGGGCAGCGCGGTGCCCGGTTCCGAGTGGTGCCCATGCTGGGGCTCTGGGTGCCGGGAGTCCCGGCAGCTCGGTATCCGGTTACCGCTGCCCGGCTCGGAGGGCTTCCTGGTTTCTGGGGATGCCCCGCTCCGGGGGTGCTTGTACAGGGTACCCGGTGCCGGCGTGTCCGGTACCACCTGTCCCTGATCCCGGATCCCGGTTCCCGGTTCCCGAGTCCCACGCGCCCCGGCCCCGCCCCACTCACGGCTTAGCCAATGAGAGCTCAGGCTTTCTCGGAGAGAACACGCCCACCGAGGGATGTAGGCGTGTCCCCGTGCCGCGGTGGGCGTGTCCCCGTGCCGCGGTGGGCGTGTCCCCGTGCCGCGGTGGGCGTGGCCGCGCGCGCGGTGCGTCGGGCGCGGCGGGAAGATGGCGTCGGGAGCGCGGGGCCCGTGGCGGGGGCGGGCGGTGAGCGGCAGCGCCGGGCGGACCGCGAGCGGCCGGGGGGCGCCGGAGCACCGGCAATGGGGACACGGCGAGCGGGGACAGCGGGAGCGGGGGGAGCGGGGAGCGGGGCGGGCCTCGGGGAAGGTCCAGCCGCCCTTGTGCCGCGGTGCCGGGGTGCCCGGGCCGCCGCCCGCCCTTGGCCGCGCGGGACCGGAGGGACCGGCCCGGCCCGGGCGGTGTCGAGGGCGAGGGGCCGCGGCGGGGACGGGTCCGAGCGGGCCGCAGTGCCCAGGGGCGAAGGGCCCCGTCCCGTGGAGGCCCGCGGGGTCCCGGGGGGTCCCGGGGGTCCCGGCCCCGCGCCCGACGCCTCCTGTGCCCTCCCCAGGTGCGGCGCTGACGGGACGGGACCGCCGCGACCTTGACCCAGGTAGGCGGCCCGGCCCCGCGGCATGCAGGGGCCCCGGCTACGCGTGACCCCGGAGCCCGAGGGCGTCCCGGTACCGGTGCTCCACGGCTCCGGGGCTGAGGATGCCCAAATGAGCAGCGCCTTCCGCGGGCTGCGGGACCGCGGCCCCGGGCTGTGACAGCCCTCGCCTCACCCGGACCACCGGCGCCTATCGGCGGCCGCCCTGGCGGCCCCTCGGTGACCCCCGCACGGTGCTTCGGTTCCCGGGTGCATCGGAGGGGCCGGCGCTCATCACCCACAACCTCCTGGCACTGGGAGCCATCCTCTGCCCATGGTGGCTGTGCCCCGGTGGCACTGTCCCTGCCCTGGTGGCACCTGGTGTCCCTGTGCCCTCGGTGTCCTGCCTGCAGTGTCCCTTTCCCTGGTCTGGTGGCACCTGATCACCCCCAGTGCTCTGGGTACTTGCTCCCTGGGCAGGTGCTCTCCCATCTCAGCCCGTCCTGGTGACACTGGGGTGACACTGAGGTGACACTGGGGTGATGCCACAGCCCTCTGCTGTGCCCCAGTGGCTGGGTGCTTTGGCACGTGACAGGCACAGCCAGGCTGGGGTGAGGGGCACTGGTACCAGGACAGAAGTGGTGGCAGCTGGTGTCCTGTCCCACCAGCATGGCCCTGGCCATGTGTCACATGGGTCCCTGCACGGGGACACCCCAGTGTGCCACACTGTGGTCTTTGCCTCCATGTTCCTGCAGGGCCGCAGTGCTGGTGGCAGGGCTGGCACTGCCCTGGCATTCAGTGGCTCTAACTTTAGCAGCCACACGAGCGCTGGCTGTGGGTGGGATGGGCTGAGCTGGGTATAAATAGACAGGCCCTGCCTGTGCTGTGTCCCACTGCCCCAGCTTCAGCCACTTTCCCTTCCTGCCCCTGTGGTTTGGGGTGTCTTAATGGCTCTTTCACTTCCCCAAACACCATGTAAGGGCTGTGGCACTGGCTCTCAAAGCCACTGCCCTCCCCACGAGCTGGTGGGAAAGTGGGGGACCCCTGTGGTGTCTCTGTGGTGTCTCTCTGCCCCAGGCACAGCGGTGCTGTGGCTCTGGGCCTTGGTGCTCAATGCTGTGCGGGTGCCTGCGGTGGCAGTGCTGGTGCTAGGGCACGGGGCACTATAAATATCCTGGCAGCGCTGTCGTGGGTGCTGCTGAGCATGGGGGTGGGCAGCTGTCCCAGCTGTCCTGGTGTCCCTGTGGCTGCTGGGCACGCCCCACACCCATGCTGGGCCAGTTCCTAGTTTAAAGTCCAGTCCTGGGTGTGAGCAGGGCTGGGATCCAGAGTCCTCCAGTCACCACTGCTCCGGCACGCTTGCCCGGCCCAGTTCCCACTGCTGTCTCTCCTGCCTGCCTTTCCTCTTGATTGCCTTCCTTTCCTCCTGACTTTCTTCCTTCCTGGCTTCCCTCCTCTTCCCCTTTCTGCCTCCCTCCCTGCTGCTGGCCATGAGGTTGGGCTGGGTGAGGTTGGGCTGGGTGAGGTTGGGCCAGGCTCTCTGACGCCCCTGTTCCTGCAGCTCGCTGGCAGCAGCATGGAGAGAGGACCCTGGCCCCCCGCCCGCTGCCCTGTGCCCCCGCGGTGGTGCCAGGCCGCGTCCAGCCCAGCTGGGGTGCCCCGGTGCCGTGCGTGACCCCGTGCCCATGGAGAGGATGAGCTGGCTGAGCAAGCTGACCCCACGGGCGGGCGGGCAGCGAGCCCCCCGCAGCGCCAGCCTGCAGCCCCCCGTCACCGCCGACCCCGAGACCTGCCTCATGGTCTTCAAGAACCACTGGGCACAGGTGAGCGGGGCTGGAGGCGGCGAGGGTCCCCCGGCCCTGCAGCCCCCAGGGCCCACTGCCAGCCCCCCTCCCACAGGTGCTGCGGATCCTGGAGCGGCGCGGGAGCAAACCGGCCCCCGACGACCTCAGCGCCGTCCGCAACAACACCTACCAGATGCTGAACCTGCTGGCTGAGGACCGGCCCTGGGGGGATGGGGACAAGGACAGGTCACAGGGGGACGGGGACATGGCCTGCGGGCCCATCCTGGAGTTTGTGACTGCTGAGAACCTGCTGGAGCGGCTCCTGTGCTGGCATCTGCAGGGCGACTTCACTGAGGAGAGGAAGGTCTGAGTGAGGGGAGCAGAGGGATCTGCACTACTGGAGGGTTTGTGGGGAGGTTGGGACAGGCTGGATCCCAAGGGTGAAGGTGCTGGGTTGGGGTTGGGGTTGGGGTGTCCTGGCCCTGTCCTGGTGATGCCCTTGACAGAGCCAAGGGTAGGGCACTGTCCCAGGGCAAGTTCATGTAGGATTGGGGTTGAGACTTACCTGAGCCATCCTGAAAACTCTGTGATGCTGCAGGCAATTCCTCACGGGAGGAATTCCCTCCAGCCCTGTCACAGATGGCCCAGGGCAGTGCTGGGATCCCCAGCCCTGGGGGGATTTCACAGCCACGTGGATGTGGCACCTGGGGCCGTGGCTGAGTGGGCTGGGTTGTGCTGGAGGAGCAGCAGGCCCGGGTGGTCTCTGTACCTTTGGTTGTGTTCTGTGTGCAGGTGGAGCAGCTGAAGCTGTACGAGATGCTGATCAGCCAGGCCCGGCAGCCCCTGCTGCGGCACAAGCCGGTGCTGACGCCGCTGCTGCGCCTGCTGAGCGTGTGCGCTGAGCCCGCCTCGGCCCCGCTGGAGAACAGCCTGGTGCTGCTGCTCAACCAGCTCTGCGTCTCCGTGGCGCGCGAGCCCGCCATCCTGGAGCTCTTCTTCCACAGCCACACGGACCAGGGCCCCGCCAACCTCATCATCTTCTCGCTCCTCATCCCCTTCATCCACCACGAGGGCGCCCGGGGCCAGCAGGCACGGGACGCGCTGCTGCTCATCATGGCCATGTCGGCCAGCAACCGCGCCGTGGCCCAGTCCATCACCGACAACTCCTACTTCTGCCCGGTATGGATCCTTGTGGGGCAGCGTTCCCCTCCTCGGGACAATGTTCTCCTTCCCGGGGCAGCGTTCCCCTCCCTGGGGCAGCGTTCCCCTCCCCAGAGTGATGTCCCGTTCCCAGGACTGTGCTGGGACCCTGCATGGCTGGCACAGAGTTGGGCCAGCTGGGGCAAGAGCCAGACAGGCCTAGAGGGAGAAGTCCTGCCCTGGCTTGGGGATGGTGGAGGGCAGGGCTGGGGATTATGGGGGGCTTGGGAATGATGGAAGCTGGGCAATGGAGAACTTGCAAATGATAGAGGGCTTGGAGATGATGGGGGGTCTGGGGGTGATGGAAGGTCTGCAAGTGATGAGGGGCTTGGAGGTGACAGAGTAGCCTGGAGATGATGGAGAGCTTGGGGATGATTGGCCCGGGACCAGGGTGCTTGGAGATGATGGGGCGACTTGGTGGTGATGGGAGGCTTGGAGATGGTGGAGTGCCCAGCGCTGGGCTGGGGATGAGGGAGCCACTCCCTGGGGTCAGTGTTGGGCAGGGCCCAGCCCAGCTGCCCTGCCTGGAGCGCTGGAGTGGGGCAGGTCTGTGGGGGCAGGTTCCTGGGGTGTGGGGAGGGTTGGCTGGGTGCAGCAGCCAGAGGTGTGAGGGGCTGCAGGGCAGCAGAGTCCATGTGTTCCCAGGTGCTGGCCACGGGCCTGAGCGCCCTGTACTCCTCCCTGCCCCGCAAGATCGAGGTGCGAGGGGACGACTGGCACTTCCTGCGGCGCGAGGACTGGATCGGCGTCTCCTCCCTCGTGCTCTTCATGAACTCGCTCGAGTTCTGCAATGCCGTCATCCAGGTGGGGCTGAGGGGCTGCAAGGGGCTGAGAGGGGCTCCCAGCCCCACAGGGCGCTCCCTGACCCCCCTGTGGCCCCTCAGGTCGCCCACCCGCTGGTGCAGAAGCAGTTGGTGGATTACGTCCACAACGGATTCCTTGTGCCCGTCATGGGGCCGGCGCTGCACAAGGTGAGGGGCCCTGGCAGCAGGGGTGGGATGGGGGTCTCCTGCCCATGCCACTGCCCCTGTGGGTGGCAGGGCCCCATGGGGCCTGGCCCTGCGGCTCCCAGCTGCCCGTGCCCCTCCTGCAGACCTCGGTGGAGGAGATGATTGCGAGCACGGCGTACCTGGACCTGTTCCTGCGCAGCGTCAGTGAGACAGCACTGCTGAAAACCTTCCTGCGCTTTGTGCTGCTGCACCGGCATGACAACACCACCATCCTGGACACACTGGTGGGCCGCATCAACAGCAACTCCCGGGTGAGCCCCATGCCCCCACGGCCCCCCAGCATCCCTGTCATCATCTTTATCCTGTTCCCAGTGTCCCCATCCTTGTCCCATTCCCATCTCCTTCCCCTGTCCTGCCGTGGGGTGGGTGGCACTGCCCCCCGCCCGCTCCGCTGCCCCTCTGACACCCTGCACTGTCCCCAGCTGTGCATGGTGTCCCTGAGCCTCTTCCGGACTCTGCTCAGTCTCAACTGCGAGGATGTGATGCTGCAGCTGGTGCTCAGGTGAGTGGGTGAGGTCACCTGCTGCTGGCCCACTCTGGGGCTCCTCTGGGATGGGCCTGGGGAGTTGTCTCCAGGTGGGCATGTGGATGTGAGGCAGCCACATCATTTGCCCCACTGTGGAGGGGCTGGGGTGCTGCGGAGGGTCCCTGTCCCCGTGTGTCCCCTGCAGCTGCCCTGTGCCACCCTGCCCGCAGGTACCTGCTGCCCTGCAGCCACGTGATGCTGAGCCAGAAGCGGGCGGTGCGGGACCTGGACATCTACGGGAAGACAGCGGCCAAGTTCCTGTCCCTGATCCCGCGCTGCTGCCGGCCCGAGAGCCCCCCGCCGCCCCACGACCGGGACGAGGAGCCCCCCTCCCGGGCCAGGGGTACGCCACTCTGGCCCCTCAGAGACCCCCACAGCCTCCCCATGGCCCCTTGGACCCTGTCCCGACACCGAGCCCTCTCCCAGGATCCCTGCAGCCCCTCAGACTCCTTTCCTACCCTGGCTTGGCACTGAGCTGTCCCATGCTGTCCCTGTGGCCCCTTAGACCCCGTCCCCCTCCTGGCTTGA